TAGCGTGATGTCTCACTTGTTACTTCCTTATAGACTTAGATCCAGTTAAGTCAATGAATCAGTCTCAATGAGTCAAATGATCAAAAGAATAATATCTGAACTATTATACACAATGATATGTTTAATCGAAACATGAATGGCAATATTGGAACAAACAATAATGGAATTGATTTCCTCCTCTTTCAGGTATTGAGTTGTAGCAACATCTATATCATAATTTCATGTTGAATCCATCTCGCATATCAGCATCATATTGATCAGTCTAAGACAGTGCACTGGTTTTACATGTATTGATTTGAAATATATCTTCTTATAGAATGTTGTCAGCCTCTTTATTTAAAGATGATGGATGGGTGAATTCTACCATCAACACAAAATATACATATTTTAGATGTGCATTCAATGTAAACAATGCATGTTGTTATGAGGATTTTGTCATCTGTACTCCTACCAGTTAAAGGGCTGGTTGCACATGTACATGTTCTCTACATTCCACATCAAAAAATTCTCTAACAAAACATCAAGGAATCATTAAAAGAATACTAGATACTGTAGCAAGTTGATTTGAATACAATGTTCTAGCTGAGTACAGTATGAGTGTGTTGATGAGTACAGCAGTCCTGATGTTGATGAGTACAGCAACAATGTTCTAGCTGAGTATAGTATGAGTATGTTGATGAGTACAGCAGTCCTGCTATTGATGAGTACAGCAACAATGTTCTAGCTGAGTACAGTTACAGTATGAGTATGTTGATGAGTGGACTAGTCCTGCTGTTGATGAGTATAGCAACAATGTTCTAGCTGAGTACAGTATGAGTGTGTTGATGAGTACACCAGTCCTGCTGTTGATGAGTACAGCAACAATGTTCTAGCTGAGTACAGTTACAGTATGAGTGAGTTGATGAGTACACCAGTCCTGCTGTTGATGAGTACAGCAACAATGTTCTAGCTGAGTACAGTTACAGTATGAGTATGTTGATGAGTGGACTAGTCCTGCTGTTGATGAGTATAGCAACAATGTTCTAGCTGAGTACAGTATGAGTGTGTTGATGAGTACAGCAGTCCTGCTGTTGATGAGTACAGCAACAATGTTCTAGCTGAGTACAGTTACAGTATGAGTATGTTGATGAGTGGACTAGTCCTGCTGTTGATGAGTACAGCAACAATGTTCTAGCTGAGTACAGTATGAGTGTGTTGATGATTACAGCAGACCTGCTGTTGATGAGTACAGCAACAACGTTCTAGTTGAGTACAGTATGAGAGTATGTTGATGAGTGCAGTAGTCCTGCTGTTGATGAGTACAGCAACAACGTTCTAGTTGAGTACAGTATGAGAGTATGTTGATGAGTGCAGTAGTCCTGCTGTTGATGAGTACAGCAAAAATGTTCTAGCTGAGTACAGTATGAGTATGTTGATGAGTACACTAGTCCTGCTGTTGAGGAGTACAGCAACAATGTTCTAGCTGAGTACAGTTACAGTATGAGTATGTTGATGAGTGGACTAGTCCTGCTGTTGATGAGTATAGCAACAATGTTCTAGCTGAGTACAGTATGAGTATGTTGATGAGTACACTAGTCCTGCTGTTGATGAGTACAGCAACAATGTTCTAGCTGAGTACAGTTACAGTATGAGTATGTTGATGAGTGGACTAGTCCTGCTGTTGATGAGTATAGCAACAATGTTCTAGCTGAGTACAGTTACAGTATGAGTATGTTGATGAGTACACTAGTCCTGCTGTTGATGAGTACAGCAACAATGTTCTAGCTGAGTACAGTTACAGTATGAGTGAGTTGATGAGTACACCAGTCCTGCTGTTGATGAGTACAGCAACAATGTTCTAGCTGAGTACAGTATGAGAGTATGTTGATGAGTGCAGTAGTCCTGCTGTTGATGAGTACAGCAAAAATGTTCTAGCTGAGTACAGTATGAGTATGTTGATGAGTACACTTGTCCTGCTGTTGATGAGTACAGCAACAATGTTCTAGCTGAGTACAGTTGCAGTATGAGTATGTTGATGAGTGGACTAGTCCTGCTGTTGATGAGTATAGCAACAATGTTCTAGCTGAGTACAGTTACAGTATGAGTATGTTGATGAGTACACTAGTCCTGCTGTTGATGAGTACAGCAACAATGTTCTAGCTGAGTACAGTTACAGTATGAGTGAGTTGATGAGTACACCAGTCCTGCTGTTGATGAGTACAGCAACAATGTTCAAGCTGAGTATATTATGAGTATGTTGGTGATTACAGCAGTCCTGCTGTTGATGAGTGCAGCAACAATGTTCGAGCTGAGTACAGTTACAGTATGAGTATGTTGATAAGTACAGCAGTCTTGCTGTTGGTGAGTGCATACCTATTTTGGTCATCATACATGGACAGACCGATGGAAAAGCATGTATGGTAATTAACTGAAGATGTATGATCCAATTAAGATAATTTGATGCAAATCCTAATAATACTGAATACTCTGGAAGAATGTGTGAAAATGGTGAACTTGTTGACTGTGTTCAATGTACCCATCCCTGAAACCGAACGAACTGTCGAGGCCAATGACAGTGAGACCTCTACAGTGTCCGTTAACCATCTGATCCTGAATTACTAACCTCTGGTTAAGAAAGATACTTTAAATTTTGATGAGAACTTAATAACCTCAAAAGTAGCTGGTATGGTATTTTAATGAGAGTTTGAACATGAAACAAATGCCAGTTTCTTGTAATAAAACAATGTGACAGCAACTCTGATTGGATAGCGGAATTTTGATAGACCTTATCTGATTGGCTTGGAGGCTAGATTAAAAGCTGATCTCCTCTCTAAATAGTATTGATAGGTTGAAAAGGGTAGCTAGAGAGACTACTAAAATACTTCAGTATTCAAAGAGAAAGCTATTTCGGATACTGGAAACGAAGCACTATTGTACCTCTAGTCATATAGAAACACAGTAAACATTTCTCAGATACTCATAAATAACCTAAAATCAATTACATCAACATAAGTGAATTTACTGAACCAATTCACCTCACAGATCTTACAATCTCATGTCAGTGTTCAAAGAGAAAAAACTATGACTTCAGGTCAGATTTGTACAGTAAAATGCACCATGATAAATCGTGCTGTTTTATTTAATTGGTAATGAGATGCCATGGTAATTTGTATTTAACAGAGCTATTGCAACATAAACAAAGAGGAGGGTTAAGTGAGAGAATATGTATGTAGAGCATAATTATATTTGTAATGTGAGCAAGCATATGAATATTTGCTAGAGAAAATTTAATCACACGATTACTTGTTTCATTTTACATTTTTTCACACATAAAATGATTTCATTTCACATATTATCCCATGTTCCATTTCACATTTTTTAATTTGTAATATTTCTCATTTTCCATATATGGTTCCTTATTTCATTTTAAATTTTTTACATATACTTGTCTTGATTTCTTTCAAGGACTAATTTTCAAAAATATAAAATATACAGACATAATAGTATGTGAAAGATATCCCAAAGAAATTCTCTTAAAAAGAAAAAAATCAATCCTGGTATATTAACACTAAATAGTACGGATTTAAAAAATATACAGAACATCGGAAACCTACAGCAGAAAATTGTTTGAAAACTAGAGAGGGTAGATCCATTTGAGGTTCCTTTAGTGTATGAACCATTTTGGCATCGAAAGGCATAAAAATGGACTATTGAGAAAAATTTACAAAACTGTCATGTAGACTATTTACATTCATGAAAATAAATTAAGATTGTTTATCTGAAATAGGATGGATAGTGAAACGTGACTGCCTTTCTTGAATGTCATAAAAATACATCTGTATCACGTTGTCAGAATATGTTGTAAATTCTTTAACCCTTTCATATGCCTTACAGTATATTTAATTTTAAAATTAAAAAGTACTGCTCTTGTTTTTACGTGAAACTCAAAGAATCTTTTTAACAATTATAGTTTGATTAAAACATTATCTTACCTAAGAAATATAATCTTGAGATAAGTGATTAAAAACTCAGATATGCGAAAAATTCATGAAAATACCTTATGTCAGTCACTATTGTGATTTGTGGATATGTATCAATTTTTACATAAACAGTTTTGATTAACCCTTTATAATTAAACTACTGTTACATGGCTGTATGTAAAAAAATAAAATAAAGGTTTCAATGAAAAGATGGTAGGAATACAATTCGCCTGGATGAATTTTCTATTACAGTTTGGAACATAAATAAATGACAGATGGATTTTCTATCACCATTTCCTGCTGGTTGTCTGAAAGCCCATAATTCCAATATTGTCTAGATACATATCCCCTAAAATGTGTATATTTTACATTTTGTATAACCTCATCCACTGATGTATGGCCTCTTGAAATTTCTCTTTCTTAACATGGAAAATCCTCACTTCAGCAAATCTACCTGTCATTTATTTATGTTCCAAACTGTATATACAATAGATCTCGGACAATAAGTGCAAACATGGGCTTTCAACTAGAGAACACAATCCGGGGAACACAAAAAATAAAGGTAAAATAATAATCGGCTAATGTAAATAATCAAATTAATTTACTGCACACTTCAAGATGCTTAAAGGAAAGTGAATAGATGGAGCTCTGTGTTGGAAACAGCTGAGTTCAGTAAAGATTGGTTGACCTTTAGCAGTGAAAAGGACAATGAAGTACACCAGTGTGTTTTAACACACGCTATATGAGGGATGCTCAAGTTTAGTTTTTATTGAAAAGACTTAATTTTATCACTCAAAGGTCGTCAAGAAACAAAAACAAACCCATTCACCATTGACTTCCATGCTTCCAATTCCAATGGCATTGGAAAGGACGACCTTCGATATTTTTCTTATGGAAATGACCTAGGATTTCTCAGCATAACTCAAGTAGATTTTAAAACAAATGTCACAAGTATCATCTTTAGTATATTTTCTCTTTATCTGTAAGGTTCAATGGGCATAAATTCAGTTAGTTATGATGAAAACATATGTTTAATCTTACCGCTTGTTTCGCTGCTTGTTCACGGAAGTTGTAATTTCCCAGAATTCAACATGGTATATATGGTGCGAAAAATAAAGTTTTTTCTAGGTTGCGCTAATGATTCTGAATATATATTTCCATTTCAATGGTACATAATGTATGAATATTCAATTGTAATCATTTAAATATATTTTTGAACTTATGTGTCTAAACTGATTGAGTTTTCTATAAAAAAGATTGGCCATATCAGTAAAAACTCAAATTGCGCTTACTCTTATTTTTCGTGCACAATATCAGGCTTATTCGCCATTTTCCCTCGTGAAAATTGAAGTCAAATATTTCCGTAATATTTTTACATATATCTAGTACCATGCCTCCTAAAGCTAAAAAGGGAGATAATACAAGTAAGAAGACAGAGGCAAAGAAGAAGGATAAAATTATTGAGGTAATTATACTGACTTAGTATGTCACAAATTCTATTTCAATTTTATTCCGATATTTCCATTCAATCTCGAATCGAACAGGATTGCACCATAGAACAGGAAAATAAGCAAACTCTTCGTTATTGGGATCTCTAAAAACTTAACTTGTCCACGCTTACCCCCATTTGTATTTTATTTTGTTTACTAGCACGTTTTAGCATGGTCTTTATGAATCAATAGATCAATAAGCAGATCGACTAAAAACTCAAATTTAGCAGTTTCGTGTCGTACTGGGCCTGTTAGGCACGAAAAACAATTTAGCAGTTTCGTTCGTTGCGTAATTGGGCCTTCTGTAATCAGTAGCAAATGCTTGCAACATGGATGATCTAAATTTCCAAGAATACTCCTATTCGCGATAAGAGTTCAGGTGGTAATTTACATAAATATCTCCCATGATGCATCGCTTTGGAAGGGACAAATTTTCATTGGCCCGCCGAACGAGTCTGTACTCTGAACGTTTCTCAGCTTCTGATCTTCCATCAGCCCTCAAGCATAGTTATATGATCCAATCTATTGATAGATAATCGGAGATTCGAAGTAACATTATTGATATTTTTTCGATCTTCGATGAAGTCTGAGCAATTTGGGAAATCAGTGATGTTTAATTAATAAAGTCGCAGTGCTGCATTGAAAATAGCACCCCTGTGTAATCCAATGGGAAAGAACCCGGATGTAGACGATGTTGTACCGTACATGAGAGCTCTTCAAACGAGAGTTAACTAAACTGATCGAAAACTAAACGTTATCGTATTGGTATATTCTGCTAAGATCAGTATCGGTATGTTGTTGCCTTCATTGTCGCGTTTGGCTGAGTTCCACAATGTAACCTAGCAGGATGGATGACATAGAACAAACTGATAAGTAGACACATGCAGTGTTCGCGTTGACGCCGTTTTTTGCCATTTTTACGGAAATTTCAGAAGGTTGGACGTAAAAATCAAGCTGCTCCAAGATAACTTTTACTGCAGCACAGTAGCGGTGAAACATGATTTTCATCAAGATTTTCAAACTCACTACCTTGATATACGAGCGATGATCCAGGTATATTTATATCGACAAATCTGATTGGCTATCATGACTACCGAAGATTAACAGAGTTTCCAGTATGAGACATGGATTTTGATTGGTTCCGATATATTCCGGAAAATGCCGCAATCGAAATGGAAGATCAAAACATACAATATTGCAGAAATCCCCTGTGGTTTCCCACAAATTGAAACGATTGTTTTTCACGATTATTTTTATTATTTCCACTAGAAACCATTATATATCGATCTAATGTTATACATCAAGATAATTGTTTAATGATAGATCGAGGTTTTTCATCTAAAAGTCTTCAGAATAAGGAGAAATGTTAATAAAAAGAAGCAAAAGTTCACGACCTTGACATGACCTTCAAGATCGCAAGTTTGTAAAATGTGAAAACAAAACTCTTAATTTGAGCATTTCCTTTATTCATTTCGGACTATTTTGGTATAACATTACTTAAGAATTGTGTGCAAAGGACCCAGTGATAGATATTTATCGGGAGGATGCATCAAATTACAATATATGTCATTTTTATCCCATTTTAGTGTAAGCACTCTATTATCGCCCACTTTATTTTCACTTTCACAATATTTTCTTGAACTTTGTGAAGAAATAAGAGGGACGCAAAAAAATTAGATGGGGACTCAAATTTTTCAAATGGGTTGCGTCCCTGGGACTCAGAAATTTTAATGGCTAGCGCGAACACTGCACATGGTTGCATTTCATTATTTTGTTATTTTAACCATATGAACTAGTCACTAGAATTTCTGTTTTATCTTTAGCGAGTGATAGGGCGAAGGGGTGTAATGTCTACTCCAACATGTGGGGAACTTGATACCTTGTTGTTTTTTGCTCTAATTTCAGATCTAGGGGAAGCCATGTTTTTTCTCTCATATGGATCAAGACCTCGCGAGGTTTTAATTTTTCAAGAATAAAACATGGTGGAAAATGGAAATTCTACTTCTAAAGTGTGGAACATAAAGAATTACTATAGCTATGAAAATTACATGATGTCGCACATGTTCAAGTTATAAATTCTTACCTCAGTATATTCAGTGCTCTATTTTCTCCGTCCTAGTAAGTCCAAATATAGTGGAATTTGTGTCCATAATGACAAATAAGAACTTAAAAAGTTGAATTGGATATTCACATTTTAATGCTGACTCTTTATATTAAGGAAGGTTTTTAAGGAACGTTTGAAAGGTGGTCACTTTTTTTGAAATTTTCCAATTTGGTGTCTCATCTTCTGCATTATTCTTTGAGCCGATGAGACCCTACTGCAAAACGATCTGGCTAACATCTATGCATTTAATGTCACAAACTCCCCCAAACTGCAGAAAAGTATACACCGTAAATCATATTTACCAAAATGAGTGTCTCCAAGGCTTCATACCAGCGTATGCATAATGCACTTGTCACGAGTTTGAGCTGAAATTTCGCTAAAAGGTTTGGCTGCTCAAGGGTTTCCTCGATATATATTTTTTTTTCTTTGGGTTGAATGACGCTTACATTGCAGAATCAAGTGTTCAGGGGTTGCAAAATGGCGCATGATGATGTTTGTATTATGATCATGTGAGATCTGGGGTTGACACATGATTAAATTGGGAAATCTGAACTATGATGTGACTCCGCCTATTTTAAATACGCACATAACAATATGTTGTAATATACTTAATCATTATAATTAACATGTTTTGCAAGTAGAATGTTGATATGATTTATTTTGTAAATATAACATTCATGGATTTGTAGCTGAATTTCTAATTCAGATACGAGCCTCGGTAGCTACTAGAAAGTCACAGTCCTGGAAAGTACTATAGAAATGTGTTCTTGGGCAAAGAAATAATGTTAATGCATGAAGGGGTTCTTCGATAATTGCTTGGTAGATCTAGGAAACAGAACTTCTATTTTTTTCCCCTGACTAATGTATGTTTGAATTTGATCAAAAAATCAATTTAGATCTATGGAGGAAAAATAGCTTGCCCTGTTCCAGTAATTGGAACCAAATTGATGTGACGGGATAGTTATCAGAAATTTACACCAAACAGGAAAGGTCAAACAGTCAACTTTTAGTATTTTTCAGTCATAATTTCAGAAGGCTGAAAATCGATTTCATAATGTTTTACAACATAGCAAATTAATAAAACCCATATGAAACCACTCTAAAATCACCTTTGAAATCAGGTTTGAAATAAAGTGGCATCTTATTACTTATATCTCCTTATCCCATTTCATTTTAAAAAAATTTGATTTCAGGATAAAACGTTTGGTTTAAAAAACAAGAAAGGCAAAGTTCAGCAAAAATACATAAAGACTGTTGTAACGCAGGTACAGCATGGAGGCAAGAGTCATAGACAGGTAAGAATCATGGGATATATAGATTGTGACAACCAGAGGGGTTAGATGTTGAACATATATAGTGGTGCAGTCCATAACTTAACATTTAACTTCACATAACCTTGGATGAGAGCCTGTCCAAAACACATAATATTGATTAATGGTTTTGTAATATAACCCAGATAGTGAAGGCAAGAGTCATAGAAAGGTATCTTGAACTCCATATCAAATATAGGATTACATCTCTGATTGTCAAAAGCAATAATAGCAATATAGAAGATAAGAGAATGTATGTTGAATAATCTAATACTGGGGTGGGGGTTTGGGTCAGACTATGACAGAACAATAGTAAATATGGAATTTTTTTAGGGTTAATGTGTCTTTTTTAATATCATATTATTTTTCCTCTTTTCCTATAGATGGAGATGGAGAAGGATCAGAGGACTAAGGGAGATCAGAAGAAATTGGAAAAGCAAGCCCAGTTAGATGAATTGAACAAGTTATTTAAACCTGTTCAACAGATACAAAAGGTGGCTGCCGGTCAGTAGAGATCTCGTTTTCTGGTTTTGATACTTTCTCATCGAACTTTACCTTCTATTTCCATACATAAACAATTATCTCCCCAGCATCAAAAAACCGAGAATTAAAAAAAACGTTAAAATTGACATATTTTGACCAGATTTGGTCTAGATTGAGAAAATGAGAATTTTGCACTCATTTGAGAAAAGATTCTGGGGAGAAAACTGATTTGGATGATAGAAATATATGTTCATATTTTGAAACACAAAGATGATTGAAGAAAATTATCAGCAGACTTTCAGCATTTGTAGAAAACATTCTGAATTATTCAGGCATATTATCCACTCACACTTTGACTTTCTTGCAATATTTCTGCATTTTCAGACAATACATATTTGTCAGTGTACATGTGTATGTTTTTCAGGTGTTGACCCAAAGTCTGTGTTATGCGCATTCTTCAAATCTGGACAGTGCAAAAAAGGTGATAAGTGTAAATTCTCCCATGATCTTAACATTGAGCGGAAGACAGTAAAGAGGAATGTTTACGACGATGGAGGTAAGATAGAGTGGAAAGCTACAATAGCTACATGTAATGCTGAAGTTAATTATGTAAAGAGGGATGGGTAAATGAAGATTTTATTTATGAGAAATGTGGCATGTAGCATGTATTATTATGTAGTATTGTTTTCTTATGGAATTGAATCATCTTCCTAGTGGTATATCAAGCACATATACTGTATAGTTCTGTTCATAGTAGAGAGGTTTAGCACAATGTTTTAGCTCAAAATAACACATTTACCAAAAATATGCGTAGTAGTTTTAGCTGAAACCCATTGTGTGCAACCTCTCTATTGTGAAAATCGATAGATACTAGGTACTATTTTTTTGCTCACTCTGTACATGTACTTCCCATTGTTTTGTACACACATTGTATGTTTTGCATTATAGAGGAAGGCCCAGCAGAAATGACCGAGGAAGAGCTAGCAGAGATGGTTGAGAAGAAACATGGGCAGCTAAATAAATCTCTCCCACCAACTGCCATCGTAAGTGTTATAATCACAGATTCAAGAATTATGCAGGCAAAAACTGAAATTATGCAGCAAATACACAAAATTATGTGGGGGAAAATGTTAAAGTGAAAATTCAAAAAAATCCATATTTCGATTAGATAAAAGCCTTCTTAAAGAGAGAATCAGATCTAGTGAGTAGGCCAACAAAAATTGTTTCAATTTTAGAATATTTCTGGCTCATGCCATTCCTTGTCATGTATATTTTCTAAAAATGCCCAAAGTGCACACTTTATTTCAAGAAAACTAACGATTTTTAAAATAATGCAGAGGTCTAGATAAGCTGTCGCCATTCGCCAATTGCGAATATTTTTAGCACCTGGCGAAGATCTTGATCTAAATATTCGCAAAGGTGGCGAAGATCTTTTTACAGAACCTAGCTGAGAAACAGATAGATTATCGGGGATTCTTCATTTTCAACTTTTGTAATTTCACCCATGAGACGCCACAATTATTTTGTCTCAATGGAAATTTAACACGGGGCACCTTCACAAGACCTGTTGCGTTCGGTATTTTGATGAATCAACTGAGACGCCAAAACTTATTTTCGAGTCAATGAAAATTTAACATTAGCTCATATTCGCAAACCTGTTTCGTTCGTTTTTCTGATACATTCAATTTGTCTGTGTGTCGAGCTAAATATTTCAAAATTATGCAGGGACCATTGAGGGCCTTGGCTTAAATACAACGACGGAAAGATGACATGTGGAATTTGTCTGAAATATGGAAGTCAAAGTGACACTCAGAATATCTGGTGTCAAGGGGTGAAATCCATAAAATTGGATTCTATCAAAAAACACAAAGTGTCCAGTTCACAGTGGCAGTCGCAAAGAATAGCTCTAGGATTAATCCAGAGAAAACAGATGCATTTTGGGCGATAAGACAGTTATCCGCTAGTGTCAGGAAGTCTATGGATGTGATGTTCGGAAATGCCCATTATTGTGCTAAATTTAACAGACCAATATCAGATATTGTGGCTAATAATTTTTCAGAGTGGCTAATATTTTTTAGAAAACATTAGCCACATTGGCTAATAACTTTTTCAACTTATCTAGACCCCTGAATAACGTATTATTTTTCAATAAGAATGATTACCATTCTTATTGTATGGGAGAATTTAAGCATTTTTCACCCATTTTTGCACCTTGAATCAATCATAACTTCACCCCTATATATCTGATTCTGCCTTTAAATTTCATGATAGGACCCCATCAAACCAAATATACTGCCATTTCTTGTATGAGTGAGACTATCAGTTATCACACGTTTCAGCATGTGATACAGTAAATATTCCACGAAAGGTAATACTGTATCATCCACGAAAGCGAAGCTTGAGTGGTGATACATTGTTACCCGAGTGGAATATTTCCTGTATCACATTAGCTGAAACGTGTGATGACGATTTTATCACATGTTTAGGAATTTTGAAGCATTTTGATTTGGTCGGCATTAGATTGTGTTTGGTACTCTGTACTCCCTGGTAACTATTATAGTTTTTTATGTGTTTTGAAATTTCGCTTTGATATAATATGACGTCATATTGTTATATTCGTACTTGCTTGTGAAATGATGTGACGTCACACTGTTTTCTTTAAAAATTTGAAACGTCATCACTGGTTGCCTCTAGTAACGTGTGAGACGGCCGTATGAGACGGAAAAACTCACACAGTAACCAACCAATCAGATTGCTGGAATTTTACATAGTATGTGATAAACATGATTCTGGGATATGTGTAGATTGTAAGAAATTCTTATGCAGTTTTTATCTACCCATTTCAATATTTTGATTCTGCTTCAACTAGACTCTGACTAAGAGGTGATTTTTCATTCTAGATTTTCCCATTTAGAATACAATCCAGTAAAATCAATCTACCCAATCAAAGTAGCAGTCCCTACATTTTCTGCTTTTAAAAGTGCCTGGCATTTATATCATATTAGAACTCTCATTAAAGGCAATAACAGCTTACGCTTTTTTCATCAGCATTGACCTATTCAGAGCCTAATGAACTAGGTTCTGACACCCAGGGTAGGCTACAATCTAATGTCAATCTAATGTTAAGCAAAATTTTTGAAAAAAGTTATGAAACACCACAGTTACTCACCTACTAGAATTTGGGACCTTAAATTGCATGAAACAACATGTATAGTAATAGTACTATGATAGAAGATATTTAAATTGAGCATATTACCAATGATGTATTTTATGTCAAATAACATAACAATGCTATTGCAGCTAATGTTTGGTTGTAACATTTTAGATTTGTAAGTTCTTCTTGGATGCTGTGGAGAACAACAAATATGGTTGGTTTTGGAACTGTAAGAATGGAGACAAGTGTCACTACAGGCATGCGTTGCCAGCAGGTAAGATATGCTAAAATATTGATCCTATCAAATAAAGGTGTTGGAATATACAAAACACCTCTATTAGTAATGCTGAAAAATTACTATGCATGATTGTCCTTATTTTTACAAAGATGGGCAATTAAGTGAATGAAAAAGAATGATGTAGTTAAAAAACAGCAAACTGAAAGAAAAAATTCCTTCTGTTCAGAAAACTAATTACTCAAATACTGATCATTGTAGTTCATTCATAATTCATAGGCATAATGCATTATATGTATTGTTGAATTTTGTATTTCACATTATTTTGTGTCTGTGGTAGATTTTAACAGCAAGACTTTTGCCCAATTTGCAACACAAATTTCAAGTTAATTTTACATTTCTGTTGAGCTATGTTTATTAATTAGTGTGTTTATTTATTTGTTTGTTTATTTTTTACGTCAGGTTTTGTACTGAAGAAGGACCAGAAGAAGGATGATGAAGGGGAGAAAAAGATCACAATTGAAGAGCTGATTGAGCGTGAGGTAGATGCTTTATACATTTGTGATATTTTCAATTCAATGACATAATTCAATAATTCAATGCCCCATGCAAATTCAATCATTGGCCTAACCATTTAACTAGTTAACCAGAAGTGGTGACAGTGTTATAGTCTCAAACTTTTTTTGTGGACAGTGTTCTGCAGTCGGTGTCTGTAACAAATGGTGGGCAGTAATATTTTGCATGTTAATGCTTTGTTATCCCACCCAATGAAGTTCGAGGGGGATATAGGAAAGCCGTCTGTCTGTTTGTTCGACCGTTCGGCCACTCAATTCAAAATGGTTGCCATTTTTGTAAAAAATATAATCTTTGATAACTCAAATACTAGTACACGGATTTTGTTCAAATTTTATCTGCTGTTGCCTAAGGATAAAGGAGCCTTGCTCAAGAAGAGATTTTCAAGGTAGCCACTGAATTTCAAAATGGCTGCCATTTTTTGTAAAATCCGTAATCTTTGATAACTCAAATACCAGTGAATAGATTTGATTCAAATTTTACATGCTGATGCCTATGGGCATATACCAGTGGACAGATTTAGTTAAAATTTTATATACTGATGCCTGGAGCTCTGCCCGAGGAGAAATTTTGAAGATGGCCGCTATATATCAAAATCTCTGCCATTTTTCATTAAAAATGTAATCTTTGATAACTCAAGTACCAGTTGATGGATTTTTATCAAATTTGATATGCTGATGCTTAGCTCTTCACAAGAAAAAAATTAAATGTGGCAGCTGAATTTCAAAATGGCCACCATGTTTCATAAAAAACGTAATCATTGATAACTCAAATACAAGTGGATGGATTTGGTTCAAATTTTTTATTACCCCTATTTCTCAAAACATGTTTTGTTCGGTGGGATTTGCTACTCCGTGGATTTGCTGTTTTTCTAGTGTCATAATGTTGTGTGCATCTTTTGTGACATTAAATCACTAATGTTATCTTACTCTCGTAAACATGCTTTCTTGTATTATATCTTCATCTGATGTTCTGGTTTCCAGCGTGCAGCATTAGGAGATAATTTGACGAGGGTGACGCTAGAAACATTCTTGGCATGGAAAGATCGTAAAAGAAAGGAAAAAATCGCAAAGGCTGAAAAGGAAAAGAACAAGAAAAAGAAAGATTTTGCTCAAGGAAAAATGTTTGGGGTAAGAAATATGTGCATTTTAGTTGTTTGATGGCTCTGTTACCTGCAGGAACCCCAGTATCTTTTACTCCCAAACTCATATCCCCAGGACCTGTTAACCCCAGAATCTGTTAGCCCTATGCTTTATTTTTCCCAAACACTGTTGCCCTCAAACTCTGTTATCCCTAGAATCTGTTTAGTTCAGAATCTATTACCTCCAGGATAGGTTATCTCCAAATTCTTTAATCTCATGCTCTGTTACCCCCAAACCCTGTGATCCCTCGAATCTGTTTAGTTCAAAATCTATTATCTCCAAGATATGTTATCTCCAAATTCTTTAATCTCATGCTCTGTTACCCCCAAACCCTGTGATCCCTAGAATCTGTTTAGTTCAAAATCTATTATCTCCAAGATATGTTATCTCCAAATTCTTTAATCTCATGCTCTGTTACCCCCAAACCCTGTGATCCCTAGAATCTGTTTAGTTCAAAATCTATTATCTCCAAGATATGTTATCTCCAAATTCTTTAATCTCATGCTCTGTTACCCCCAAACCCTGTGATCCCTAGAATCTGTTACCTCCAAGATGTATTATCCCAAGGATCTGTTACCCTGTTACTTCCATGCTGAGATTTTTGCCTGCAGGTATATTACTTTATGTTGTTTTGTATCTTTATTATTGCATTTTAAAGTTGAATTTGAAACTCTGAATTTCCCTGTGTGACATTTTTTTCTTGTCATTTTTTTTAAATAGTCCAAAAAGTTTTTTAGCCATGGCTACATACACTTTCAATGTTCACAATTTTTCAACTGAAGAAGAAATGAAGATCAAATTACCATTCAAATAATTAATATTTTGATTTGTAAAGAATATAAATCGTGTATTTAATATTGATTTGGTTGTGTTTAGATAAGTGGTCGTCAGATGTTTGAGTTCAATCCTGACATGATCGCTGATGAAGATGACGAAGATGGTGAAGTGATGACCTACACACGAGAGGAGAGTGATGTAAGATATCATTAATGTGTAGTATTAGGAAAATGTGCAGCTGTAATCATAAAATTTTCAGCTGTAAAAGTAAAATGTCCAGCTGTAGACGTAAAATATGCAGCTATCATAGTTCATTTATGTCTCACATTGTACGAAATTAAGAAAAAGTTTACAATTAAAATATTTTAACTTTGCTCATCATCTGTTATATATTTTCATAGGGTCATTCATTTGTGTAATTATGGTGTTGGGATCCCATTTTATTAAATAGTTTTATTGATATAAAAAACACAATGGGACACATTTTATTTATGATTTCAGGATGAGGGCGAAGATAAAGTTGCTGTTGTGGAGATAGACTTAGATGCAATAAGTAAGGCTGCTGTTGCAGTTGATGAAAAACATATAACTGTTTCCAAAGCTAAAGACCGCTCTGGGGCAACTAGTGCTCCAATGACTAATGGCATTGATAAAAATACAAATGGTAAGTTGGGTGATAGTTTGAATAATTTGAACTGAAATTTTGAACATGTTGAGTGAATAAATTGGAAGATTTCAGTAAGAAATTATTCTGGTTTGTCACACCTTGAATCGAGTGTCTGCAGCCTTCTGTTTTGGGCACATACTTTTGGCATAATAAAGTTAAGAAGTAATTGCGTTGATTCTGACACTATACTGCAAGTTCATTTTGATTTTTTTTTCCGAAAGTATACAGTTTGACATATTCTTCATTGAAATGTGCTTACCCTTGCCATAATCTGATAGAATTTTTCTCACAAAAAAAACGCTGCCGATATAAACTTCATTACTTGATTGTGAATTCTTTCCAAATGATAATACCTCTAATAATGATACCTAGAAATGTAATTTCGTATAACCAATTTATAAAATTTCAGGTGAAGCCTCAAAATTAGGTGTTGCTGGAGCCATACCTGATAAAAAATCTGAGGCTGATGCTGCAGTAGCTGCCACGACTCATGGCATTGAAAATGGGGCCATGGGTGGAGATATAGACATTGATGAGAACCTGTTTGATGATGAAGATTTGGACGCACTAGAAGATGATCTAGACACTTTAGAATTAGACGCATGACCCAAGTTACCTGTAGTGTAAAATTAAGGATTGCTGACTGACTAAATCATGCTTTTTGTAGTAGTCCCTTTAGATCTTCCATATTCTTGAACAACTAACCTATACAAGAAAAGTCAGTTAGTGTGTGGTCCGTCGATAAATCAATGTCCATCAAAAACATTGTAACCTTTACTTTATGGAGATTTTGAATAAACTCCATCCTCCCAGTTGACATGATACCTTCAATAATGTCAGTGGCTAATTTGAGGAAATTAATACCATCAATGCCAGTGATGGTGTTTACATCAATCTCCCATGTTTTTTAATGGAAGTCAGTTTTCTTTCAGTAGAATTATATTTTCCATTTGGAATCTTACATTTGTTTACTACAAGGGGAATAGGAACAATGATAATTTAGATAATTTCAAACCTATATTTACTATTGTTCTACATTTTATTGATCGTGTGAATACATTTCCATATTGGAAGTGTTGGGTCACAATTGGATCTTGAAGATTGTACCTGTATATGAGTTGGTTTAAGAAATATACATGAATATTATTTATCTGAATTGAATTGTTTTGTTGTGAAATGAGTAAACCATTGCCTTACATCGGTTCTGCTCCTTCCCTTGTGAATGTGTGGATATGAAGGGCTTGATGTAAAATGAACAAGACCATGCCTATGTTTGAAATTTAAAATTAAAAAATATGCAATGATTTACACCCTCTGGGATCATCTATTTAAGCGACCACTATGTTTACATACACATGGATAAAACATGAGTAAATGTGTATTCCCATGCACTACTAGGAATTGGCATTCTATATATATGTGGAACATCAGAGACATTGAAGGAATCTGTTAAGTTTGACGAGTTGAATTTGTCTTGTAATGAATTATCAAGATTTGTGTGAGATCCCCACATGGAGTATTCTCCCAGGGGGCTCAAATCCATATCACTCCATTACATCCAGGACAAAGGTAATCTGCAATTTTGACTACAGTGATTAGGGGGAATGAATTTAGCCACATTCTCAATATTTTACTGTCTTATCTTGATTCACAAGGTTTTGATTGTTCCTACCTTACCTTGATAAATCCGCCCAATTTGACCGACCACTGTGTAAATAAACCTCAGTACCCTGCGTGCAGAGTCTAGTTAATCTACACTGCCTAGTAGAGACCATATAACAGTTTAGTAGCCCTGCCCCCATGACGGGTACCGGTGACAGTTTGGGTAATAAATTGACAGTTTGGGTAATAAATCACTTCTGACCTAGGCGCTGACCTTCCACCAATCAGTGAGCTTGAAGAAACATACGCCAAATGCGTTCTAATTAAATATGCGCATATCATTGGTCAATTCCGGGCTCAACGATGACGTCAGATGGAATGACCAAATATAGAACATCGGTCAAATTTGGCCGACGAACACTGATTGGCGCTGTGAGTTCACAGGTTTATTTTAGTTTGAAAGAGTGAAGATGAAGCTCTCTTTTAAGAAGTGAGGTCAAACGAATGCAAAGGGTAAAACCCCAGCTGAGTTCACTCTCAATATTGCTCCTCCTGGCAGTTGCCTGCAGAGTTTTGTAAGACGCCACAAGACGCCCCTTACTAAGGATAGAATTGTTGAGAAGTGGAATTCATTCTCTCAACAGCATATCAAGTGTTATGATTGATCAAAATGGTGGACATTCTGAACACCTGTTTATACTGACATAAAACTTGGTTTGCAAAACCGTTTTGAAACAAAATGACGTAATTTGTATTATGGACACTGGTTGATGGGCATTATAATAAATTTGAACTTATGATATACGAAATTAAAGATAATAGATTTCCCTATCCACTGGTATATAGTATGATATGTTTTCATCAATAACATCAATATTTATTTTTGAAATAAGAGTGTCCCATTTTTGGACCACTCTGTATTTGGCCAGTTATTGCTACCGGGGTTGGTTAATCATGTAAATTGACTTTACGAGGTTGCTCCTAGGGTAGGTAATTTGACATTTTTGTTAATATCCCCACCCCTTCCCACATTGGGGGGAGGGGGTCTCATGAAAACCTTTGAATGGTGCACTAGCCCAGTTACCCCTTTTATTTGCCTTGTTTATAAAAGATTCTGGCTGAGGTACTGGATTCTGGGATTTTATTTTAGACAGCATTTATTCAAACAATGGGCCTTGTATTCTAGCTAACCAATTTTTTAATCAATAACATTACCTGTCAGTTTATCCATGGAAGATCATTCATCAATATGGATGCTGGTAAATCTCATACAAAATTGAAAATGTATCATCTCTACAGGATCCCTAAATCGATCTGCTCATTTATATGGTAACCATATTTATAGAAAAATAGTACATTATTGGAAGATCTTTAGTTTCCTGAAATAAATATGCACTTTGGGCATTTTTAGTGAGTAAACATGATAAGGAATTATATGTATCAAAAAGTTTTTTGTTTACCTTGCAAGCCAGATCGGATTCTCTATTTAACATTCCAATTTGTGTATGAGAACTACTGCACACTATTTAGCACGAGAACAAAACAATTTAATTTCTATGATGTTGATTTTATTCTAACTTGATCACAGAAAAACATAATGTTCTATATAAACAGCACTTTACATAGACATATAAAAATGATCATTGTTCTATACTTGGTACTCGTTATAATATATTTATATAACACGCTGTACAATTATAATGTTATGAGACACCTACATTCTGTTATCTGTATACGTCATTTACACAGATGATCCAATCTTGTCAAAATTGTGTTTACACATCTTAAAATATAATACTTGCACAATTTTCCTGTGAAAGAGTGTTGTTACAAAATGACATTAGCATGGTTACAAAAGACTGCCATGTGCTTTATGTAATCATAACAACCATGTGTACATTTTCCAAAATATTCAACAAGGTTACTAAGGTTACAACAGTGGACATAGGAATTTCTTAGAATATGATTTATTGTGACAAAATGTATCCCTGCTTGTGACCAGACCACTCTTGTAATACCCCTTGTTTTCTCCCTGAAAAATTATAATGAAACAAGGGAAATTAAAAGTGTGATCTATTAAACATAATAAATACAGCATGTAATGTATGCGATTTACCATACATACATACCAAAACAATATAAAATTCAGCTAAAATTTAATTTAAGCAAATTACCAGAACAGTGTCCATATAATAGTAAATGTATTGAGGATGAGGTATTTGTTAGAGGTCTTAGTAGTTTTGAGTTTACAGTGCGGAAATGCATTTTTACGAGGCATTGTATCCTGAGTTAGCTACAAGCCACATCTCGTCATAGCCCCTTATAAGATTTTTCTGGCTCATGTAGAAACTGTTGATAAATGAAAAACACCAAGTTTACATTTACAGAAATGTCTAATATAATAGCAAATATTACATTTGCTGCTGTGAACTCGCAGATAAACTCACTTAAAGTGGCAATATGCCAATAAGTATTTTTTTTGAACCCATTGAGATGGTGCATAGGACAATATCGGAGTTTACGAAATATCGTCATTGAAGTAGGCAAGATAATTATTTTACAGAAAAAAATTTTTTTTTAGTTTGAATATGTCCCATGTGATGCGCCTCCTTATCTATTACTGGCATTTACATTAGTATTTTTATATGATCAACAGAATCCTATTTGCTCATTACTATAGAAAACATTCCTTTTACATTATTTAATAAAAAAATTTCCAATAAAAATAAACATTAATAAACCCACATTTGCCGTCTTCCAAAGTTTTCTTACCGGTATTGTACAATTAAAGCTCAAATACCATGTTTTTTGTTATTATACATGTACATGTACATAAATATTGGAGACAACACAGAATCTTGTACAAAAATACATACATGTACTAGTACATGTCAAATCAGTTTAACAGTAGAAAATTAAGAAATTGTACATCTTTTTGAGTACATCTATTTAGTTAGACCTATGTAATATTATTAGGGCTATACAAATCACTGAAATATCCATCTAATTTTACTTACTAAGATGCCATAATATATTTGACAAATGGATTAATATGATCAGAATGTCTTGAATTATGTACTTTAAAATACCTAAAACACGGTTTTAAAATCAGACAATTAAAACTAAAGAATTTTTCATCTGACTAGAGTTTGTTTTCATATGACAAAGAAAGTTTTCTTTTTCTCAAAAAGGACTCCATAACAGCATAAAAAAATTCCTAAAGATTCGAATTCAAAGGTTCCATTCATCAACTGGCTCTCCATCTAAAGATGCTATATACAAACAAATGCAAAACAGTTATATACAGACAAAGAATAACTTAATATAAAATATAATATAGGTGTCATTTTATGTTTTCTCGGGTCGCCATACTGCAACTTGAGGAATAAATGAGTGACCGAAGAAAGCACATAATCCACCAAGATTTTGTACAAATTTTACAAATGAAAGTCTTCAACTTTCCCTGTGGTTTTGCGCTTTTATAAATACACCCAAAACTAAATGCTTGGATTTAATTCACACTAAAAGTATCAATATACACAATGTCACCATCTAGCATTACATCACTAACATGCAAGTACACTGTACAAAACATTGTGTATTTTATTCTTCAAAGAGGTTCAACCAATAATTTAAGCCTAAAATAGTTCAATGTCTTAAACCACCATGACAACATGAAACCTTCACAATCAATTAACTTTCATTTTGGTGGAAATCAAGGCTTAAAAATTGCATTTCTGATAAACAACACAAGTTCCAATTGACATCTCCTAATAGCATTTTTAGAAGGTGGTCAATTTACTTACTTAGTGAAACATTTTGACAATTTACTATAGGTGGTTAAAGTGACAGTAAGCTTGATTTTTAACATTCAGAGTTACAGGTTGAACCACTTTAAAACGGGAACATTTCACCAAATACATTGATGCATTCTAACACTACATGAATTTAATGTAAAGTAAGCTTTGTCCTAGAGAGACACTCCAATACATTTTTATATACAATCTTTCATGGCACCATTCTCTCTCATGCTTTTCTAAAACATTCAATACGTAACTACAAAGGGTGTGCGAGCATACCTCAGACTCTGAACACATGTGATTGAGTTCATTCACCAGACCTTTCAAAAGGAATTCAAAGGCAAAGGCGAACAAGAAAATAATAATTACTAAGGTAACAAAGTAACAATAGGGGAATAGCTTATTCAGTGGATTCTTGAAGTTGGTCAGGTTTAATTGAGTACAGGTAAAGCTCTCAATTCAAGCTCTTGTGCCAACTGATATTATAGCATATTTTTGCACAAATAAGACTGGTCATAAATATCTTCCCCAGTGTGTACAATACACACATTTATAATGCTGTTTCATCAACTCCCTGTTTCGAATTCTCTTATTTCAAGATCACTTGAGGATAAACACCCTTAAGAAAAAAGCCATGGTAACCATGGTATTCCATGGTGCGTCCATGGTAATCCATGGTTTTCCATGGAAATTCATGGTTTTTCAAGGTATTTTCCTTGGAAATTCATGGATACCCATGGTAATCTTCCATGGATATTTACCATGATTTTCCGTGGTAATTGGTGGTTTGGTAATTGTTTTTTCATGAACATGCCATGTTTTTACCATGACACTTGAGTTGTAAAATCAACAATTTTGGCAGGTTTTGTTTTTACCAAAATCTTCAAAATTGAATCAATATTTTAACGAATGAATCCAAGCTGGATTGAGAATTAGTCTCATTAATCATAGATAAAAGAATATGACACCCCCCCCCACCCCAAAATCTTTGAGAAAGTCAACCTTCTTGACAAAAGCTGGTTTCAGGCCTGAAATACAACCATGTTTTTACAATCTGAATATATGTTTAGTACATTCTGTACATAGTGTCATATGACAAAGAACTGTTTACTTAATATTTTTTTAATTGATGATTTGACCCCACAATTTAAAGTAATAATTTGTTTGCTGGGATTTGCTATCATTTAACTTTGGCACTTATGTAAAAAAGACAAAATAAGTGATAAAATCAGCTCACTGGATTCCCTTATTGCAGACTGAATAAACATTTTTATTTGGAGTAAATCCTATTTGGTTTTATTTGATCAACAATGAGTTTCTGACTTGCACTGTCTACACTCACAGACAATAATAATTACTGAAGAGGGAGCATTAGAAAGAGTAAGATTATCATATATAATAACAATTAAGATCAGAATATTTAAGAATTATGCAAATGAACTCTTATAATCTGTTGTAAAGAGATTAATCTTTTGACATTAATTTGAGAGTTAAGACACCTAATTAACATAGAATAATGGCAACCAAATATTTAAAAATTATGCAAATGATTATTTATTCCTATTCAAAGACAAATCAATTTTAATTACTTATACTATGTTTCATGTTTTAAGCCAAATGGTGTTGTTAACCCCCTCCCCTTCCTTCATGCAACTCCTTTTTAAATATAATATTCTTACATAGACAAATTGAATTTTTATCACTTAGGTATAACATTTCAGTTTGCAGCCATAGGCTTGTGTTTAATCCCCCATCTCAATTTCAAGTCAAAATTCTGTAAAAGTATATACTTTTCTGTGGATTATTTCAGATAATATGCTTATAAAAGTTGAATGGGACTTAATTTGGAGAAGTTCATTTAGAAACATAATGTATTATTCATTTTTCTGCTTCCAAAAGACCAAACAAATAGCCCATGGAAAACCATGGACTTTCAAAAGATCAAAAGAATAATCATGGAAAACCATGGCTTTTTTTTGCACTTTCCAAAACATCAAAGAAATAACCATGGAAAAGCATGGCTTTCGATTGCAATCAACCGTCTTCCATGGCTTTTGATTGCAGTTTTCTCAACTTCAAAGAAAGAAACCATGGTTTTTGATTGTATTCTCAACTGTACGAAATGTAATTTAAGAAAATGAGTTATTTATTTCTTAAATTACTTCATATTGATTTTTAAAACTGAAAATTAAAGAAAGTATTGAAATAAAACAGAGCTTGGGCTAGTTTGACTTAATCTTTTTCAAAGGAAAGAAGTGTTTGGCCTAAAAAATAAGCAATCTCTATCTAGTCTTGATCTACACAAAAGACCTTTGCACAATTGTTTTTGAAATCTTGTGGCCTACTCTCTGCTCTGCTGTTTCACATATTTTCTCATTTGTAAGCTGAGTCTAACATTCGATGAATGTTCTTGCTATACCTTCAAAATGAAATGTGCACCCTTTTTTCTCAATGATAAGTCTCAGTCTAACTGGGATATATCATCAAAACATTCATTTTGGAGATTTTGGTAAATACAAATCCTACCAAAATTGTTGATTTTACATCTCCATGACACATCCATTAAAAACCAATTACCAAACCAACAATTACCACGGAAAATCATGGTAAATATCCATGGAAGATTACCATGGGCGTCCATGAATTTCCATGGAAAATAACATGGAAAACCATGAATTTCCATGGAAAACCATGGGCGCACCATGGAATACCATGGTTACCATGGCTTTTTTCTTAAGGGCAGTAAATGTTTGAAAAGCAAGAAACGTCAATACAATATTTGCAGATATTTTTAATTGAAAAACTCTGCCATTCTTGTAAAACTAAAACCCAAACATATCTGGGTGGTTAAACATAATGACCCTTGTTCATGATGGGTGACGTAATAGTTACGGGTATGTACAAGTATCCAAAGACGAATTAAAGGACATAAACAGGCATAAGGTGACTAAAATAGCACATATACACATAAACGGTGACTAATAATAGCCCATTTACACATAAACAGTGACTAATAATAGCCCATTTACACATAAACGGTGACTAATAATAGCCCATTTACACATAAATGGTGACTAATGATAGCCCATTTCCATATTCATGGTGACTTATAGCTTGTACATGCACATAGTGACTAATAATAGCACCTAGCACATGTTCGTGATGACTAATAATGGTACATATATACTACTAAAGAAACAAAAACCTCTCAGTTGCAAATCCCACCAAACAAAAACTATGACAAATCACACATCTTTTTGATCATTTCATGGTAGAAATAACCAGGCTGTAATATTACTGTAAAAGCCCAAATTTTCAAGGTGCCCTAATTTTCACTATATTCGCTTGAATTAAGTGACCATGTTGAAATTTTGTCTCTAGCAGAGGTCCTATGCCCAAATAGTATCAGACTACAATTTGAACCCAATCATTCATTGATGGACTGACCTACAGAGGGATGGCTTTTCTATATCCCTACTGGAACTCCATTCAGTGGGATAATAATATATATGTATGATGTCTACTCGACAAGGCTATAATGCTTTGTACACAAAGTAACTAAAGACCTGATATATATGAACATACTAAATATCTACAAGTCTTTGGTGCACAGTGCATGCTTTAGAAAACTCCATCTATCTTGAGGTATATATCCCGAATGGATATCTTGCTTTCTTAAATAAGAACACATACATAGTATTTATGTAATAGAGGTATCCAATGTAACACTAAATAAACATTATTCCAGTTTGAGTTCAGATATATTATCTACTGGTAACATCCCATAATGATAGCAATATATTATCATGCCACACAGAGTTCATTATGTGATTAGCACCAGTTCGTCGATCTTGCCACACAGCAAAGACTTCTAGACAATAAAATGTTCCTTTTTGAAGCCAGTAGGTTGCCAGTGGTGGATCTCTCCACCGCACGTAACCCCTGGGGTTGTATATATTCCTGGGATATGCACATCAACTTACTAATTGTAAAATACTCCCTGAGTTGAGTGTGTTGTCTACAGATACAATAACACGGTGTCTGTTTATACATGTATATAATACATATACGTTATTATAAATTGGATCACTGAACATAGTGTGAAATCCTATTATAGTTCAATAAAGTGGCTAATTCAACGTGAATCATTCGAAGCCAGTCATCCGAGCAATCAATAATAGAGATTTGATAGGTGTGCATTATGTTGAACTAATGACATCACAATATGGTATTATGACATCATCTGACACAAGTCGTAACCTCACTCTATGTAGCATACCCTGTTCTCCATACCTCCTCTTTACCCTTTCAATATTATAATTCTAGTGATGCAAGTTTTCTCATTAGTTATATCACACAATTTGGCAAATCACACATGCTGGACACTAACACTGTAATACCCGCTTTTCTCCGATTAACAGTCGCTATAGCAACTGAGTAAGCATGCTCTTAGTTTAGACATTGTAGTTTCGCCGTGACGCAGGCAGATTGTGGTCTGACATATCATGTAGCCGCCTTGTGTCAAGCATGTGTGGGTCGTCGTCGCTCCCATGAGGTTGGTACGAAGAGACATTGTGAGTACCTGATCCCTGATTATGTGGCTTAGAGGTAGGGTCATTCTGAGGTGGATGATGACCACTTAAACATGAGGTAGTAAGAAGCTTCGATTCTGGCTCTCGTGGCACATTCTGTCGAGTCGAAGTATCTTGGTCGTGAATCTGGTCACCTGGGGCTTGCTCACGATTGTTATAGCTACCCGTATGTGAGACCCCTTTGGTGGCCAGCTCCTTGCTAAGAGTTTCAGTCTTTTCCTGTTCTGTAATAGTGCCCTGTTTGGCCTGTCTAGGGCCTGCATGCTGGTGGGGGTTGGGGCTTGTATTCTGACGTCCTTCCTGTTGGCTCGAACTTAGAAGTCGTGTACTTGAGGTATCCTGGAAATCACAATTACAGCTTTTTAACATACTGAACCCAATCTAAGCTCTACTTTGAACGTACACTGGAAGCAGGTCTAGCATGTACACTATATACTGGTGTCTAAGAAAATATTTTCCTCCATGAAACATTGTCCAGGTTTGTAATAACACCTAACTGCCCTAACATGGCTGTCACAATGGTTACTCAATAAAATGCAAATAAAGAAACATATTTCATGGTGTAGTCAGTCAGAATTTGGGTAAGATAACATAATTGCGCAGGATCTGAATAAGCCATTCAATACAATCAAGCTTACCCCTTCCCCCTCCTCATTTAAACTCTGATTGGCTGAATTGTTGGTCAGCTGATCTGTCCTCTGATCATTAGGCCTCAGTCCATTGACTGGTGGGACAACTCCATTGCAATGTATTATATATCCCCCTCCCTACAAGAATAACCACCAAGAGTTATTAGAGAAGGGGATGCAGTGATCTTCCCAGCATTAAAACAAGTGGGCGCAGTACTACCCACTTTATATTTTAATAATAAACATGCACCCACCCGAGAATCAATTTGCACCCACTTAAACATGTAAAATAGGAATATTTTGACCAAATTTGGTCTAAGTTGTGAAATAAGAATCTTGCACCCACTTGAGAAAAAAATCCTGGAAAGAACATTGGGATGATTTTGCAAACTTTTTGTTTTTCATTCAATCAATCAATCTGTGTAAAAATCAGTCAGTAATAGACATTTTTCAACAATTTATTTCATGACAAGCAATTTCAAGCAAATATTTAAAATTAAAGCAACATTTCACATTTTGATTGTTCAGTAAATTTTCCATAAGCCTCTAAGGCCACTTTTGTCATGCAATGGATATTTGTGATGTTCATTTCGCTAATTCTACTTTGTGATTATACATCAGATCATTCCATGATGTCATTCAATCATAACTTATTTAAAATCAAATTTAGAGTTGCAGCAAAGAATAGCAAGAGAAAAATGTAAGAAGTCATCCTTTAAAAAATTAACTGATCCTTTTCTGACAATTTTACAATCCTATTTTCATTTTCTGAAAAAATATCTCATCAAATAAGGAAGTTATTGAAAATTGAAGATTTAAGTTCTAAAAATGTACAATTTCATTAGAATTGAAAAAAGAAAATGTCCATTTTTTCAAAATCATTGCCAGATAAGTTTCAACATTTTTTTAACAGAAGAACTAAAGATTTAACTTTTTAAATCTATTTGAGACATTTTCACAAACACCAGTGTAAATCTCAATGTAGTCACTTACACACAGGAAATCATACCTTTGTATCGGATTCCTCATTTTCCCTAACAGCTGTGTGGTCTAGCATTGGAACAAAGCTCTCCAGTTCATAACTTTGGCTCTCTGACACTCTAACTACTCTTCCATTAGGCACATGGCCGTTCACCATGTGGTGGGCATGACCATTACCCCCTCCTGAGTAACCATGACGACATTGAGCCGTGGGTGGTGGGAAACACCTGCATTGACAATCATACTGTTTATTGAAAAATCTAAAAACTATTGACTATTAATGTACTAATCAATTTTAAGGCTATTAAGTATTGATTTCATCAATCTGATATAAGAATAATCATAATGTAAGGACAAAGTTATTGACCAGGACTGAACCAGCAAAAAATCTTATGCACTAAACGATATCTAATTTCCCGGGGAAAATTGCCGGTCATTAACTGGCTTGACTGGCAATATTGACCACCACTATGACGTCACATATTGTTCAGGTCGATAGAGTAAAATGAATGCCTTCTAAACTAGCACTAAAACCCCTAGAACTGGCTCGGCAAGGTGGTAATAATGTAGGTTCAAACTCATTATTTATTATATTGAAAGTTTCTCTCAAGGGTTCCATTCCATTGTAAACACATGTCCGTAGCACTTGCTTTACCCATTTTGAAAATGTCACCCATAATGTACTCCCGGAATTCCAGGCATTCTACAGTGACAGGGTTTTTAATAATAAAGTATTTCTTTAAAATTACTTTATTTGAATTACAGGATTGTTTATCCTAAGGTAAGGAAGTCTTTTCTATTAATGTTGTACGTGATATCTAAAAGTAGGTTTTTATGACATAGATGAGATATACAATAGCACCATAGGGCTGGGTAAGTATTTCATGTTTATACAGTCAAAGTTAGTCTACCTGTTGCGCATCAGGATGATGATAGCACATATGATGATGCAAGTGCCCCCTTTATGTATTTCTTTAAAATTACTTTATTTGAATTACAGGATTGTTTATCCTAAGGTAAGGAAGTCTTTTCTATTAATGTTGTACGTGATATCTAAAATTAGGTTTTTATGACATAGATGAGATATACAATAGCACCATAGGGCTGGGTAAGTATTTCATGTTTATATAGTCAAAGTTAGTCTACCTGTTGCGCATCAGGATGATGATAGCACATATGATGATGCAAGTGCCCCCTATAGATATGCCAATCACTACTCCCATCATCTGGTCGCTTAACACAGGAGTATCACTAGATGCTACAAAATGGACCAAATATTTTATACTAAGTATGTAACAAAACTCATGATCGGTCAATTCATGGTCACATGAAATATTTGGAGATACTATTCATCAATATTAATAAAAAAAAAAAATCTACATTACATTACTTGTTTTGAGGTTTTAATAAAATTGCTGACAAAGGGCAAAATGAACTAGACAACAGCAACGCCAAAGCGTAGCAAATCCCATCGAACAGCCATGGTTGGCATTTTTACAAAAAAAGTATAAAGCAAAAATCGGGCCAACGGTATTTGAATTATTGCCCCGACGGACCGACAGATGTAAGGAGGCGTTCCCTATATCCCTCCGAACTTCGTTCGATGGGATAATAAAAAACAAATGGGCAAAGGAAGGTTAATAATAGGAAGGTTAGAAATAATATATAATATATGTAGTTTTAACATGGAAGCAGTTGCAAAATTTCTGAAAAAAACAACAGAAAATCCTGTTTCCCGCTGTTAATGAAATTCCAGCCTGTTGCACTAACCTTTTTCTTTTTTTTTAAATTCTAATTGTGGCTCGGTCTTAACAAGACATTACGAGCCAATAACTAACCTTGATCTCCAACAACATTATTCGAGCATTTTCCATCCAAACAGTCAGTAGGAAGCATTATGGTTGTAATAGAAGACCATGGTCCAAGGCCACCACCAGCTGTTTGAGCACGTAATTTGAAGTAATACGTGATGGAGGGCTCAAAGTCTTTGAATATGACCCTCGTCCCAGTACCTATACGATATAAAAATGATAGTACATAATCGAAAATTGATCTTTAAAAAGGAAGGCCGGAGGCAGTAGTCATAATTTTGACGACAAAATTTATTTACACACAAACCACACGAATACAGATAATTGAAATATAAATAAAAATCCACCCACGTGCACGCCCAGTAGCACAAGACGACGACAATATAATACTTTGAAAAAGTGGGTGACAATAACTATTTTAATCAAAACACATTGGATAACGTACCATTGTATTTCCTGATGTACCAGCGCTCAGGTGGTAGACTGAACTTAGGTGTATACTGGATGACGTAGCCTGTTATAGGCTTGATACTTTTCAGTGGAGCTCTCCAAGTAAGCTCCATGGAGCCATCATGTGTGAGTACTACCTTTGGATCTCTGGGCTGGCTAGGACCTGTTATTTATGAGAAATAACATTATCATTATTTGACACATTGGGTCAGATTATTATCAATGGAACATTTCACTGGATTTGCACATCTGATATGCTCTTTTTAAAGGCACCATGCAAAGTTTGAAAATATGTTTTTATCATAAAAAATGAATATACTCATGCAGATTTAATATGTGGTATATCTCCAATAGGAAATTTAAAAGAAACCAGAAACCAGATGCATGGAAAATGTTGCTGTAAAATACCAAATGTCTACTAGGGCTTAGTCAAGAACTTCTACATTGGGATTTTTTAATATATAGGTTTATATGGATGAATGGACTTTATATATCACTGACATTCTATAAGAAATTGCCATCTCCAGTCTTGTATAGTTTTATGATTACACCTTTGTAATTGTTACTCCACATTGATCTTTCTCATGTCAAGGAGTAATAAATGTTTTTTATGGACATCAATATTTTCACTAAAGCCTTCCTTACTGACTCTGATTAAGATCAAATTTGATGGTCTGAGATGGTAGATAGCTCAAAGAGTACTGCAGAGCCCCAACCACAGAAAATAGTTTTGGGGTTTAAGGACAGGCTAACTCCAATTGGCTCAACAATATACAGAGTATGTCACAAAATGAATCAATATTCTAAAGGGTAGCAACATTAATTGCAAAGGGTAATACCTATAAATTGAAGAATGCGACTTAATTGTCACAAAGAGGGTCATATTAGGAATTACTTACTAGCTGCCTGTGTGGTGGCTGTTGCAGGTTGACTATAGGGGCCTACCATATCAGGGGAATGGGAAGCCACAGAGAACTCATACATAGTGGATGGCTGTAACTCTGTCACAAGCAGGCTTCCTTCATCACTAGATAAATAATAAAAAAGACAATCAGAATTCACGAACATGTGTACAATAGATTTGTATAATGCATGTGCATAATACATATGTACAATATTTGACTAAAATACATGTGTACAATACAGTCAAGTGTAGATACAAAATAACATGGCCATTTCAACATGTTACATGAATGCAGATTTGGCTAATTTGTCATGTTTCGACAAATCACAACGATTGAGACAAGTGAACATAATGATTGAGGCAAGTTAACATAACGATTGAGACAAGGACACACAATGATTGACACAAGTAAACACAACAATTGAGACAAGTACACACAATGATTGAGACAAGTGAATATAATGATTGAGACAAGTAAACACAATGATTATAAAACAATTCAACACAATGATTGACTAACCCTGGGCTTGCAAATTCAATCGGTAGTAGATGCTCAACTGTAGTGTAACTTCCATTAGGTGCCGTAACATACTGGACCCATTTAACAGTATACGCTTGAATACTTTCAGAGTTCCTTAATGGTGGGCTCCATCTCAATAAGACAGCTGTAGCATTCAGGGTCTCTGCAGTGAGGTGCAGAGGGGGAGGGGGAATTGCCATATATGGAGGGTCAGTGGGACTAGATGGTGATGCCCCTGCCAGAGGATTGGTTTTCACAGACAGGACCTTTTCTTCCCCATCTCCTATGCCATTGAATGCCTTCAAGCTAATTTTATATGTTGTATCCGGATCTGAAAATACAGAGACATACCTTTTATTAATTTTATGGTTCATATTTGTGTAATTTTGTGTAAAATGTTCAATGACTTGATAATTCATGTTGTCAAAATTTTAGAACTGGGCAGTCACACACATATACAGGTGTCATGACAACAAGCTTATCTATACACTATTGTTTCGATATAAATGGTTGGTCAAGTGAAATAAGTAATATGGATGCGACTCTGTAGCAATCCCGGAATTGACAATTCTTGGTCTTCTGCCTCACAAAATAATGCATTATCAAACAAACATTCAGATAAATATTAGTGTGACTCCAAACATTAATAACATACTGATCAAAATATAATCTAATTTTGCATGTAGAACTTGAAAAGCTCCTTTAAGAGTCCTTCATATTTCAATTCATATTGTATTCTATAGATGTCCCAAAAGAGATATTAGAGGTTTCGCACAATGTTTTTAGCTCAATGTATCTATAAACATCAGTACCATATTCACTTGATCTATGCATAGGAGTTCAATTAAAAGGAAATGTAGTTGCAGATACATTTTAGCTATAACCAGTTGGGCAAAACCTCTCTAATATCAAGGATGTAATAATATAAGTCATTAGCACATACAATTCTACTTAATAAGTATCACACATCCCTAGATGCACCCACATAATATAAAAGAGCTGGCTCATCTTATATGACACATAATATGTATTCAACTATCACCTTTAATTGAAAACATATATCTACACAAATTACATAAGCTTAGTCTTACATAAACTGGTTCACTTAATACATATCAACTTACTAGAATTTCACTGTAATGTGATTAGTTGTTCAGAACTGGTGTAACTTTAAAGACATGCCTCAAAAAACATGGTACTGAAATGGCGGGAACTGTCCATACATTAAAGGCAGAATCAGATCTATAGGGGGTGACAATGTTACAAGCAACGTGCATAATTGACCTACCAATCTATTCCTTACAATACCGAATACAATATCTCCCAAAAGATTCACAATATGTTATAAATTGGTGAAGTTATTAATGATTCAAAGGTGCAAAAATGGGTGAAAAATGTTTAAATTCTCCCAAATAATAAGAATGGTAACCATTCTTATAGAAAAATAATACATTATTGTAAAAATCTTTCGTTTTCCTTGAATTAAGTATGCACTTTTGTGATTTTTAGAAAATAGACATGACAAGGAATGACATGACCCAAAAATATTCTAAAATTGAAACAATTTTTTGTTTAACCTGCTCGCTATCTCTGATTCTCTCTTTAAGTAGCAATTTTTACCTTATTATCATTTTCATCTCTATCATGGATGATAAAACTGAAATGAATTTGATGACACCCAAGGCCCCCTCTTTTGGTGACCCTGTATATCAATTCTGTAAGCCTTTTCATCATTGGCGGCATGCATGACGGTGTGTTTTATAAAACATTAATTTATCTATTATATATTTTTAAATCAATGTACAGGAGAACCTGCTAAGTGGAACACCTCTGTAATTGGAACACCTCACAAGTGGAACCATGTGTTTAAAGTCTCATGACCTATCTTCTCCATGTTAATGAACTTCTGTAAGTGGAACACTTCCCAAGTGGAACACTTTCTAGTGGTCCCAAGGGTGTTCCACTTACAAGGGTTCTACTGTATGTGTTTATACTTAGCAGAAAATGCCCATCAAAATATGGATATTTAACAGGCTGCCATGCTCATAGCCATCGTATTATGTTCTATAACATTCTTACTAGCAATGTGACACTTCTTGCAAGTCTTTCTTCCATAAATGCTTCTAATTCATGACTGACCAGTCACATTAGATACAGACCAGTACCTTCTTGAAAATGCTGGCAGGAGATACAGATGAATGGTCAACATGTCTATTTGTATTTTCTTAATCAACCATGGTGATCTGTGCCAAATGATAGCGATATTTTTGTATTCAGGAGTTAGTTTAGCCTTAGGTCCGTTTTGTAGATTGTAGACTTACTTTTTTAGTGACTAATATGTCATTGTAATGACATCAGAGAGTCAATAAAAGATATATATATAAAATATATATATATATGGCCATCACCTTCCCAGAGATTTTTGAGATATAGTGAGTTATATAACTAGTAAATCAAATATTGTAAATCTGTAAAAATATTTGATGTACATAAAAATAAATGGGCTCATCTCATGAATTGCGGGGCTGAAAAAAAAATTCCCGTTTACCCCGCAATTCCGTTACCATAGCAACCATAATTCAATAACCAATCATAGTTGAGATACAATATTTAGCCAATAGTTGCACAAATATATGTTCTATGAATGTACCAAATATCAAGAAGTAAGTCTCAAAATGACAAAGTTAGAGATAAATAAACAGAACTTTTTGACTCATTGATTCATTTTTGCAAAACCTATGCTATTAGATCTTTAAATTGCTCAACATTCTAAACAACGCATGACAGAAATAACCATAGTATGGGCATGACAGAAATAACCATAGTATGGTCTCCTTTTCCCAAAATCTACACCATTGACCAGGAGGTTATAACGTGCCACAGACATGCTTAAAAGTATATGTATGACATTCAATGAAGTGAGGATTAATTCAACTTTGACCACTGTATAGCCACAATAGAGCTAGTATATATGACCTTTAAGCCTGAAGTTGTCTTTCCTATGTTTACCCATTTGTTCAACTGCAAAACCTGTGTGATAGCACAGACTCAAAGACCCCTAAGATGAAACATATCAACTCTGGCACAATGCCAAACTCTTTGGGAAGAAAAGAGAGTAAAAACTTTTTCTAAGTTAAAATAACATAAAAAATGGAAGGATTCACAACACAGATCACATACATCAAAACTCATCAACACTAACCTTTTGACAAGTCAAACACACATAATAAAAAATGCAAAGAATGTGGAACTACTTTTATATGAAAGTAGTCCTCATAGGCTACTTAGTCCGTGACCTCAAGGCCAGTATTATTATGTACATATAGGCAACATAAGTTGGCCTTATACTGACCCTATGTTATATTTAGATTCATAGTAATGTAACTCAGGCTAAGAATGACCAATCCCCTATTAGGGATGGATCATTCTCATTCATCATTAGATCACTCTAAATATTTACCAACAATTGGTCATCGAAAGTATTCAATTCAATTCAACTTATTCCTAATAACATAATTATACAAAGTATACATAATAAGGTTAACATGTGACATCATTTCTGATGATTATGCCTGTACACTGTACATGTTAAGCATCCAATATTAGGAATATTAAGATCAAGTGGGGTCAAGGAATCATCAATGACTGGTGAGTAATGGCCATGAAATTGAATTGAACAATCCAATTATGAATTACCTAAACTTACCCTAAATGTATATGTAACCCACCATTGTTGTGCCAAAGACTAATCTTTCTTCTTAAACCATTTCATATCATATTACTTGTATCATAGTCATAATTCTAATAGTCTTATATATTTCATATTGGCAATCTTTCCAATGTTATAAACATTGACTTTATCTACTGTAACAATTTCAACATAATTTGTAACAACATGCAATACTATACTAAAATACTTTCACTTTGGATAGGGTAAATTTACAATTCACTTGTTTATGGATACACCAATTTTTTTAAACAACTAACTGTAATTGATTTTTAAATATTTTTTAAAACATTATCCTCACAGGAAATAAAATTGTCTTTTTACCAATGGCAAGGTCAAAATGGTTAGGTGATTTCAGAGGTTTTTGTTAAACTTAAAGAGGGTAGAAGTCATCCTTTAATAGGTCAATTCAAGGGAATGCAAAGGGTAGAACAGGTCTGTTTTTAAGATAGATTATTCATTAGTAATGTCGGAATATTATGATGCCATTTATAGGAACAATAACTATGGAAGATATCAAATTGACAGTGACACAGGTGTGATACCTAGTTTAATACATAATGTTCCCCTGAAATTCATGATCCTTCCCTCTTACTTAATAGCCTTGTACTATTTTTATTATATATATCTTTTATTGACTCTTAGAATGTCATAGTATGACATATTAGTCAGTACAAAAATAAAATAAAAACTTACTACACTACACTACATTACACTACACTACACTATTATTATACAAATACAATATATACAAAAACATGTTATTAACATGTATTTAACTATACATAATACTTAAAGCAGTGTGATGCATCCAGAATGTTCTTCAGACAAGTTCAATGACCTTGAATGCTTTATTTATAAAAATGCCAACTTGCTTTTGGACATATTTATCTTTTGAGGACATTAACATTATGAATGCATTTTCAGGATGGTATTTATCAAATTTAATTTTGCTGTTGATGTTCTCAAACAATAGTTTTCTATTTTCTTGATGTATTTGGCAATTTATCATGAAATGAATTTCATTGTCTATTTCTCCACAAACGTTACACGTTCTTTCATGTTCAGGTTTTGGCCGTGGTTTCACATGTCTACCCAGTTCTATTTGAAGTTTATGAGAACTTAACCTTAATCGGGTAAAGGATTGCCTATGATTTTTGTTTTGAAGGCTTAAATATTGCTCCAATTCAAAAGTTGTCTTAAATTTAACATATGTTCTCAGAACTGGATATAATTGTAAATCACACTTCCATTTGTCCTTATAATTTTGGTGCATTGTCTTAGTTAAAACATTTATAAATGTGAAATCATCTTCAACAATTTGTTCATTCCAGTTAAAAAGAAGATTGCAATATGTACTTTTCCTCGAAAATGTATAAATTAATAAAAAATCAACATGTCAAAAGTTCTATCAAATTTTGTTCATTATTGATATCCCCAGGTACAGGTAGTTACATCTTTTTTAGTATGTTTTATTCATAGACTCATAGTTTCGGACCTGTGATATCATGTAATCAAATGATAATAATGACGACACATGGGACTCTCACTAACATACATATCATATATTATTTGCATGTTGTTCTTTTCAATAATTTGATCCCTTTATTAAAAGAGGTGAGCTAAAAACATGTGCTAAATATAAACTCATTAACTAAGCGGGAATGTCAGAGGAAATGACCATATATAGTCATCCGTATTTCGACGACGAGTTCTGATGGGCTCGGTGAGATCAGAGATTTATTGTAAACTGAAAGAGTGAAGATGAAGCTCTCTTTTAAGAATTGAAGTCGAACAAATGCAAAGGGTACATAAATTACCTAGCGTACTCTAAACCTTATCTACCTCTGCATATCAAAAAGCTAATTGGATGAACACTACTTTGATTACATATTTCTCACACGATAACAACTACCCTCATGCCCACCCACAAGCCTATCAGCATAAGAAATTGATAGTAATATAGCATATCAAGAGTCATTAAAGGTGACAGATAAAAAATGATCATCTATTAGTCAATACTCAGTTGATAATTTTGAATTATTTGATATGGTCATATAAAATCCTTGGCCCAAGAGTACTTTAATGCATTACATTAGAAAGCAGTGAAAGACAAATCTTGAAAGATGGTCACATCACATAAGGTTATTCAAATGCTCTACGTTTATCCCGTACCAGGACTATAGTCCTGTATGGAGCGCACTCTTTTGCCTGTACGATTACAACTTGGGAGAATTATCTACGCCCCTTACACTTAAGATACCTACCTCAATGCATTATAGAACTCAAAATGTAACTTCTAATATATTGGAACCGCCAATTGTCTGGGTATATCGGCAGAACGGGAACATTTTTCTTTTTCATTGAGAGAGATTCCATCACTTTTCAACATGGCGGTTGGATTTAAAAGGGGAATCCCCCGTATGACTGTCCCGGATGTGGACCGGAAGTACCAATATGGAGGAATTTGACGGTTGAAATAAGTTAAATGTTACACGCAAATATTGCGATCAAAAACGAAAATGTCTTCGTTCTGCCGATAAACCCAGACAATTGTGGATTCAACTACACGAAAAGAATGCTAAAACACCAAGGAATCTATTGAAGTAGGTATCTGAAGTGTAAGAAGCGTAAAAAATTCTCCCATGTTGTAATCGCACAGGCAAAAGAGTGAGATGTTCACAGGACCATAGTCCGGGAACAGGATAACTCTACGTCATCCTGCAATACCCTGATTAATCCATCTTGTTCTGTTTGTTCTGACCAATTCCCTTAGGTGTAACAAAATGAAGTACTACAAGTCACGATAAAACCCATTGATTATTGTTTCCAAATTTAAACAAACGAAAAAGGTTTTGAGAGAAATTGTCAAAAGGAGTGAATAATTTATTTATCAATTTTCAGTATAAAACAAGGATAATAACAATGTTAAATGTTAAAAATTAATTCTGTTCAGAATGATTTGGCAGGGAAGTTGCTTATGCAATAATCAAGACGATGACATAAGATGGTTCAACTCTCTATGAACTTGTTCAGCATTAATCATGTAAACAAGGCAATGTATTGAACAATCTCAATATCTTAGTCACAGTAAGTGTTACAGACCTCAACAAATTGATCAAAATTACAAACAACTTCCCTGATAAGCTAATTCTCAGAATAAAACATATTTCAAAAACATGTTTCTTCGGAAAATGGCATCCACTGTAGATGTCAATTAAGCAGCCTATTACTATAATAAACAAAATTTTGACCAAATCCATCAACTTGTATTTGAAGTTATCAAAAATTTCACTTTTCATGAAAATGACTGCAATTTTGCATTCAGTGGCAATATATTCTATGTAATATTAAATCAAAAAAATAAAATTTGATGTAATGAGATAGCAAAAATTTCAAGAATTTTTAGACAATGCTTGTATAATCTGCTAAAGAGTACAGTAATCAAATCTCTCTCAAAAACACTTTTGAAACACACTTCTCTAGTTGCTCCTATAATAATAACTTTAACACAAGGCATTAACATGACAAAATGTCACCACCTAGTTGCTCAGAATATTATTAGTTCAATCTTAAATCAGATTTGAATCTCAGAGAACTATGTAGATGATTTTGAAAAAATAAACTAGTCAATTTGAAGCAAATTGAAAAAAAGACCTTTTTTTGACGGTCATTGAAGGTGAAATCTCAAATCTAAAGTCAGATTTGAACTTCTGAGAACTTGTAGATGTTTTTGAAAAAAAAATCGGTCAATTTGAAGCAAGTTGAAGAGAACTTTTTGACCTTGAGAAGGTCGTTGAAACTCAAATCGAAAATCTAAAGTCAGATTTGAACTTCTTACATGTATAAGTTGTAGATGATTTTGAAAATAGAATTTTGATCTTTTTTAACCTTTATGACCTTGAAAAGTAAAGTCAGATTTGAACTTCTGAAAACTTGAAGATGATTTTGAAATAAAATTGAAGTCAGTCAAACAGTATTTGTTAAGTTATTGGAAGTTTTAAGAATTTGTTACAGATGCCAACCATCATCCCGCTGATCACCAACCACCAACCGCTGATCGTCGCCACAAAAAACAGAGACCATAACAATATGTCACCACTTGTTGTTGTTGACATAATAATAAAGCACTATATTTTCTATGACTATGCAAGATATAAAAGATCCAAAGTTATTAAAAGCTGCGTTCTGACAGGTATTAGTGCAATAATAGCACTTGAAATGATGAGCAATGTAAACCAAGCTAATGTAGAATAATATTTCACCTACTCACATGAAATTAAATAAAAAAAATAACAATGATGTAAAACAAGATGACACTAACTTGTGAAGCACGTCTTTGCATCAATAAAATGTTACTTTTAATCTTTACCATTGCTTCAATTATCTGTGCAAGAACTACCCTCCAGCTCAATGCTATCTCAATGTTTCAAATTTTTGGGGGTTGCTATTCAATAATCTGGTATTACTATATAATTTTAGGTATTGTTATGAGATATCTGGTGTCCATATATATCATCTGGTATAACTATTAGATATTGCTACACAATTTTCTGGTATTGCTATGTAATTAATTTTCGAGCATTGCTTTGCTACTATATTGCTATATAATTTTAGGATGTTGTTATACAACTTTATGGTATTGCTAAACAACCTTAAGATGCAGCTATACAATTGTTTGGTATTGCAACACAATTTTCTGGTATTGCTATAAATATTTTAGGTCTTGTTATACAATTTTTGGTATTGCTATGCAATTTTCAGATGTTGCAATATAATTGTCTGGTATTGTTACACAATTTTCTGATACTGCTTCATCATTTCAAAGTAGCGTTATACAATCTTTGACACTGCTATATAATTTTCTGGTATTGCTATATAATTATATGGTATTGCCATATACTGTAACTTTTAGGTATAGCTATAGTTTCTGGTAGCGCTATGCAGTTTTCAGGTGTTGCTAAAGTAAAATAACAATTACAAGGTTTATGAAACAGAAATTATTACTTACATAAATTGGGCACAACTTGATATCGTTTTTGGTCTGACGTCAATTTTGTTCCGTAAGTTCCAGACACATGAGTACCTCGCCATTCTATTTGATATCCCATAATTTCAATATCTGAGGATGCCTTAGGTGTCCACGTTATATTCACTGCTGTTGCATTTATAACCTTCACAAGAAATAGATCGACTGCCTCTGGTACTGAAACATTAAAAAACAGTATATGCCATTACCAATCAAGTCAACATTTTCATAATATACAGGGTGATCCAGAAGTAACGTCAAAGATGTTGTAATTTCAAAAGTATTCATCAGATCTTCATGAAATTTGGTATACATGTACCCACAACATTTCTGAGTTACCATCTCAAAGATTGGAATTCAATCATTTCATTGGTTGAAATTATGGTTGCTATAGTAACCCGATATCGCGTAACCCGGGGCAAATTACTTAACGTGTAATGCGTAATCTCAAAATATCAACAAGATCTGAAATTGTTATATCCTCAACATTTTATTTCACAACAATATAAATCATACTATTGCACAGTTACTAATAATAGTTCATTCTACATAATTGCCACCATTTGCAACACATTTCTCATGTCTGGATACCCATTCCTTGAACACAGAATTAAATCCATTAGAACTCATTCCTTGTAGGGCTAGTACTACGGCATTTTTCAATTCCTCACAGGATTGAAAATTATTTCCACTAAGGTTTCTTTTTAGTTCCCCATACAAATAAAAGTCACTGGGGGCAAGATCAGGTGAATAAGGGGCATGTTCAAGTTGTTGAAATCCAAGTGTTTGGACTGTGTTGCTGGTCAGGATTGCAGTGTGCGTAGGGGCATTGTCCCAATGCAAGATAAACTGCTGCAGATGTCCGGGACGCTTTTTCCTCAGGGAACGTTAAAGATCACGCTTCAGAACCTGAAAAACAAATGTTTAATGGTTGTTAAACCAGTTGTTTCATTGATTGGATTTGGATTTGAATCATGGCCATGGAGTTATAATTATATTGACAGTGAACAACATTTAAATACTCTAATTTAAAAATAAAATTCACAGTATGATGTATTATTAGAACAAATGATATCTTACCTTTGCAATGTAAACGGCATTAATTCTCTGGCCAATGGGAACAAAATGGGTTAACACCATTCCTCTAATGTCAAAGAATGTCACAACCATTTGTTTCTTTTGTGGAATTCCTGGTACTATTTTAGGCTTGGTTGGTGTTGGGGAGTTGTCATGTTTCCACGATGAACTTTGTTGCGTGGTCTCTGGGATGTAGAATGATAGCAATGATTCGTCACTCGTAATGATCTTGTTAAGAAAGTCATCTCCATCTCTCCGATATTTTGCAAGAAAGTCCCTTGAAGCCTTAACACGCCGGTCTTTCTGCTCCTGTGTCAAGTCATGCGGCACCCATTTAGCAGACACCTTCTTTAACAGACAGTTCTTTGTCAGTATCCGTTGCACAGTCCCATAGCTCAGATCGTGTTTTTCAGCCAATTCTCTGATAGAAATTTGCCTATTGTCCATAACATCAGCTTCAATTGCTTTGATGGTTTGATCATCGAATGACGACACTGGCCTGCCTCCTCGCTGCTTGTCTACCACTTCATCATATCCACTGGAATACTTGTTAAACCACCTGTAAATGTTTCTCTCAGCAATGGCAGCTTTACCATAAGACTTCTTTATCTGTCTTATAGTCTCTTTTACACCTTTCCCCAACTTTACACAGAACTTAATGTTTGTTCTTTGCTCTATTTTACTCTGACTTGGCGCCATCTTGAATTGGGTGGGTTAGTGTCCTTGGTCATGTTAGTATTTGTCATGGATGATGGAAGCAATTCAAAGAAATTGAAAGCTTTTTATGAATGCCTATTGTGACATCACAACTATTACATATTTGTTACCATGGCAACAAATATAAAAATCATAGAAAACAAACAATGAACATTTTCAAATGTTACTGACTTTTTAAATTAGAGAAATTCACAAAAACGTTATGGTTTCTCTTCAATTTGCCCCGGGTTACGCGATATCGGGTTACTATAGCAACCATAATTTCAACCAATGAAATGATTGAATTCCAATCTTTGAGATGGTAACTCAGAAATGTTGTGGGTACATGTATACCAAATTTCATGAAGATCTGATGAATACTTTTGAAATTACAATGTCTTTGACGTTACTTCTGGATCACCCTGTATATTTCTCAAAAAAACAGGGGTAAGGGACAAGACGGGAGCTAATGTAAGACATAAAGACACTGAAATGCAAAATGTCATCACCTGCCATTTGTTACAGATACCGAGCACCAAACAACAACTGTTGAACGCCATTGACAAAAAATTTGGAAACTTTTGGTGTTATCATAAAAAATACTAATGAAAATACCATATTCTCTGTAATTAGCATTCGGGGCATTCATAAATTTGAAAATACATCCTTCACACCATTCTAAGAAGCACCCATATATGAACGAAGTAAAAAATCCCTAGGAATTTTATGTTTGGCAATTTTTCTTGCCAAGAATGCCTTATTTGCAGCACCAAAACGAAATAACAGTATATTTTTACAATAATTATATGTGTTGTTATTGGAAAGAATATGGTAAAGATCGCGAAAATATATAATTGATCTAAAAGTCGTAAAACGTGGAAAAGAAATGAGAAAGTTGACAACTTTTTGACATGGGCAGAACACCTGCACAGAAGAAACTCTCTTGGAAAAATGCCGATCAAAACTCTACAACTTGAACATTTCCTTCATTCATTATGGACAATTTTGAGATAATATTAGTTTAGTATGATGTGGGATCCACCCAATGGTAGATATTCATCAGTAGAATGCATCGAATTACATAATGCTTCACGTTTACAGGACTTTAGTGTAAGTACTCTATTATCTCCCATGAGATTCATCATAATTTCATTCTTTTTTTCTCATATATGCACTATTCCTTGGTCATTTCTCAGTATTTCCTGAACATTGTGAAGCGGGGTAGGCGCTTATCAGGGGGTGGGCGCTAAATTCGGCGTTTACTCTAGGTAACCCTATCTAACACAGGAAACCAGACAGGAAGTTCATTCCACTTATTATGGTTTCCATTAATTATGGTTGGATAAAATGTAATATGAAATTTCCCATGCCCACACAGGAGCTTTTAATTCTAAATTCACATAGCTCCACTTACACAAGATTAATCTGATGTGGCATATTTAATACCTACATAATTTTTGCAGAATCTCAATGAAAGATTTTCAAATAAAGTCTCGCCCTGTTACGTCCCGGGATTTGAGTTTTTGAAATCATAATTGTGTTTGCACTTACCCCCTTCTTTAGTATCTTCCTGGGTGCGTTCAGTGACCCAGTCCCATTCACTCTCACGTAAGTTCGGGAAGCCTTTCTTTGTCCCCGCTTCAACCCTTACATCATAATAGGTCAGTGGAAACAACCCTGAAAATCAAGGGAATAAAATATAGTGCTTGCGCTGGGGCAAATCTGTCCATGGGACAATAAACAAAATCAAAGTTTATTTGAGTTGCACATTTTTTGGATGCAAGTTGAATTTTCTGTTTCTAACCCCTCCCAAACATCAACTCTTCAACTCATATTTCTCTTTTGTCAGACTACAATTCTCTTAAAGGACAACTGAAATAACTTTTCTCAACTTGCAGCTACAAAAATGCCGTTTTCTCCATTGCAAGCCCAACGTAGAGTTCTTGCGATAGCCATTATAAAATAAATGTTAGATAACTGCTAACGGTCATAAATAACGAAATAAAACTAACTGATCAATCAAATTGGCCCCCACGTGATAAGTAACGTCATATACAAAATATAGCTTTGGTTTATTGGTACCTTAGTAATCACAACGTCACAGCAACCATGGATTGTAGTGTAAACCAAAACAAAACATTTTGGCATTATGACGTTATGGGCCACGTGGGGACCAGTGAGAGATCACGTGGGGGCCAATAACATCACAACCAATTCGAATATTGCTTATTAAGCAGCTATAACGATCGTTAGAGTGAAATAGTTTTCGCACTACTGATGAGAAAACATGTACATGTAATACATTTATCAAAAAATTATATTGATTCCTTTAGGTTAAAAATACCATTTCATACCTGCTTTAAGACTTATGACAATACTAGTTCAAGACTTAATGGACAGCCTTTATAAGATTAGAGATAACATGGTTCATGATTTTATGGACAACTCTTATTTGAGTAGGGATAATGCTATTTCAGGAGTCTAATTCCCTCACCTCCTAATAGGTAATCGTGTTCATCAGGCATCAGATCTATGTAGTCATCAGCACCACCTTCAGACTCTCTCCAATGTAGGCGGTACTTGACAACCTTACCACGGGTGTCTGGTGATGACAGCGGCTCCCACTCCACATGTAAAGAGTCTGGGCCAGCTTGGGATACAGTCACTGAAGGGGCTCGCAATGGAACTAGAACATTGTAAAATGTACATACATAAAGGTACTTTGAAATGTGGTAAGAAAGTGAAACTGTACTAATAATTTACAGGTACTTTAAAATGTGGTAAGAAAGTGTTACTGTACTCATAGTTTAAAGGTCCTGTGAAATTTGATGAATGTGTTTGTACTCATAGTATTAAACAGTTGTGTGAAATGTGATATGAATGTGTTACTGTACTTTTATATTCAAATAGATTTTAATGCTCTTGCTCGTGTAAATCAACAACTTTTTAAATAAAAGATTTTTTGAATTTAAGGTTCATTCTATAAAAATTTCAGCATGGATTGATAGAGTTGAATTGCATGCTAAACATGCTTAACTACTTTCCCTATTTCCAATATTTATCATAATTGCGGATTTCCTTTAAATGGATAAAAAATATTTAAAAAATATGTGGTTTTCCAATGAGGTTTAAGGCACATCTTGACACCTTTTGTAACCCAAGATGTAAATTAACACCATCATTAAATTTCAACAATTGAATCTGATGATTAGTCCATAATATAAAAATCATACATGAATCACTCTCCAAATCTACAAAAATATCAAGAGATACCAAAACTTTTCCTGTGAACTAATGTGAAGTTTAAAAGTACAAAGATTAATAGTTCAAGGATGTTCATCAGGTTCTGCACTTAACACCAACTCAGTGTAAATAAAGGTTAGAGATACAAATACAGGAAGTAAACAAAAATGCCCGAAAAGCTGAAAAGTCTACTTTACAGACACCAAGATTAACATGGGTATATTCTGTAATTGTATGGACATGGGTAATAAAATAAATAGGCTATTATTAGCTTATTCAAGTAGCGACCTTCCCAGGGGGATTTTACTGAGAACTCATTGATCGGGACAAACTTTCAAAGAGAGTTTTCACAATAGATGTCCCTTTTATTCATGTCATTGATAATAATTGAATACATGTAAATCAGATAATGGAAACATGGTTTAGGCTCTCAAGGGATTGAAGTGTTTCAGCAATACATTGAACAAATATTGACAGGTAACACAAATGTTTATTTATATAAGAGGATTAATATGTGTATGCCAAGTGTAAAAATCAATTATGCTAGCAAAATCTAATGTTGTATGACATATTGTAATGACACATACCCCTACATAATCATAGTAACTCGGAACAAAATATAATAAAGATGTAAGCACAAGTGCCAAAGGGACATGACCAAAAATGGTTACAGAGCCTGTTTAAATATACACCAGCCATAAGGAAAACAACCCCACCTATTTCAAACCTTAATCAAACATCAAAAGAAACAATGTCCAACGCTACCCTCCAGCATCATATACTCCTTTGTTGACATAATCACAGATATGCAAACTCAAAATACGGAAATAATAATCTAGACAAAAGATTTTACAAGAACTTGCCAATCAGTCAACATTACATAAAGGACCGTGTTTTTTTACAGAATGTTTTCAATAATTGGTTTAAGAGAAAAAAAAACATTGTTGAATTCAGTTCACCATATCAATACCTATCCTTTCTAAAGGAATGTTATGCCATACTGTATGAATAAACAAGGCATTAAGTCATTAACATACAAAATGTCACCTCCTACCATTTATTACAGGCACCACAGGCTGATAACTGAGCACCATCCACAAAAAAGTCAATATATCACAACTTGTGATGGTGCAAAACGAGCCGAATATATTGAATTCTCACCATTTTCAGATGTTGCTACGACAATTGGTAGTGTTTCTTCCCCTGCATCTGTGCGGGAATATGCAACTACGTAAATCGAGTAGTTGGTATATGGTAGAAGATTACGTATCACTTTAGACGTGTCATTCTTGTGTGATGTCACAACCTGTAGCTCCAGGCTACCTTCTGGAACAATAAAAAATAAATAAATAATAACTAGAAAGAGACATACATTTACATATACAGTGAAACCTGTTAAGTGGACCATCTCTGCAAGTTGAATACTTCAGAGTCCCAAGACCAACTGGCTTAATGTTAAATGAACCTCTATACGTAGAACACCAACCAAGTAAAACACTTTTTAGAGGTACCAAAGGTATTTCACTTAGACAGGCTTTACTGTACATGAATGCACATCAGTTAAATGAAACAAAAGACAATATTTTGACAATATATCTAAAGTGGCAAATATATCCCCTCTGCCTCTCAGTGAGATTATAGGAATATCCTATGGTTTTGAAAAAATATCATTTATATCCATGAGTGGATATTGATATCTTCAAGAGAGAGCGCAGCGAATGAATGAAGATATTTGTATCTATGAGTGGATATAATTGATATTTTTGAAAAACCATAGGATTGTCCGTTTATCCCATGGGAAATTATCATCAGCGAAATAATTTGAAAATATAATTTGAAAAAAAATTGAAAAAATAATTGAAAAATATTGTTGAAATTTTAAATTTTTTTGAAATATTTTTGAAAATTATTAAAAAACGTAAAAAGAATTTTTTTAGCAAATAATTCACAAACCATCGAATATCACTTTTAAACTATCGAATATCACGTCTTAAAAAGTGATATTCGATTGTTTGAAAAGTGATATTCGATGGTTTCAAAAAAAATTATTTTTACATTTTTTAATTATTTTCAAAAATATTAAAAAAAATTTCAACATTTTTTCAATCATTTTTTCAACTTTTTTCTCAAATTATATTTTTCAACTTTTTTCGCTGATGATGATTTCCCATGGGATAAACGGACAATCCTATGGTTTTTCAAAAATATCAATTATATCCACTCATGGATACAAATATCTTCACTCATTCGCTGTGCTCACTCATGAAGATATCAATATCCACTCATGGATATAAATGATATTTTTTCAAAACCATAGGATATTTATAGGATATCCTATGATTTTGAGGAATATCATTTTTATCTACGAGGTGATATTGATATCTGCACGAGAGAGCGAAGCGAACGAGTGCATATATCAATATCACCGAGTAGATTAAAATGATATTCTGAAAAAAATCATAGGATGTTCTTATTATCCTACACTTACAAGGAGTGTACTAAATGTATAATATCATTGTAAAATTAATTCCATGCCAAATAGAGTCAATTTGGCGGGAAATCAACAAGCGGAGTATATCGTCACAATATCCTCCGCATATTGGGTTTTCCGGAGTATATCGTCACGATATCCTCCGACCGGAGTATATCGTTACGATATCCTCCGGATATTCATTTTGCCAATAAATATCAAATTTATTTTTTCATGTTATTATACATTTAGTACACTAAGTGTAGGATAATCCTATATTATCCTACACTTAGTGTACTAAATGTATAATAACATGAAAAAATAAATTTGATATTTATTGGCAAAATGAATATCCGGAGGATATCGTAACGATATACTCCGGTCGGAGGATATCGTGACGATATACTCCGGAAAACCCAATATGCGGAGGATATTGTGACGATATACTCCGCTTGTTGATTTCCCACCAAATTGACTCTATTTGGCATGAAATTCATTTTACAATGATATTATACATTTAGTACACTCCTTGTAAGTGTAGGATAATAAGAACATCCTATGATTTTTTTCAGAATATCATTTTAATCTACTCGGTGATATTGATATATGCACTCGTTCGCTTCGCTCTCTCGTGCAAAAATCAATATCACCTCGTAGATAAAAATGATATTCCTCAAAATCATAGGATATCCTATAAATATACAAGTCATAATATTCACTTTACATTTCAAATAAATTTATTTCTTGAATGAATTCATAGATTGCATACACATGCAATTTTGAATATATAGTGGCAAAAAATGAAATTCAACATTAACATCAATCAACTACACTCTATTCATTGATTCCTTTTGTCAAGGTGATAATGTTTAAAAAATCTGCTGTCAAATGTACATGTAAAATAGATCACTGTGTCATCTGATCACAAAACATGTTATTGAAAATGACATTTAGTGGACTGATCTGGTGGAGAATATATGTCAAGTTGCAAAAGTATGTCATATTACATGACCCAGTTTTGACTCAATCGTACAATTGAAGTTTGACAGTGTTATAATAAAATAAGATATCATAACTGGATCAGTAAAATTAGCCCATCATGTGTGATTTACAAAAGTTTTTTTTAAATAGGGTTTATTAGTGAGCTATGTCCATGATAATCTTTAAGGAATGGAAGAGTTGGTTCACTGACCTGATACAGCAGAGTAATGAACAGAATGGGCGATAATATCATTGTTTAACGGGCGATTCCAGGAAACTAGAATCTCAGAATCTGACAGCGCAACTCCTCTGAGGCCCTGTGGGGGTTGTGGGGCATTATCAGACCTGATCACACGTAACAATGCCGCAGCTTGGACATTTCCTGCCACATTGGACACCATGCATTGATAATAACCCGCGTCCTCAACATTTGGTTGTCCTACGACAAGACTTTCTTTTCCATTGGCCTCCTTGTAAGTCTAACAAAACAAACAATATAATTTCTAAATAACATATCTCAGTGGTAACACAACTGTTAATGAAAAGCTTAATTAAAATAATTGCTTTAAAATTAATCAAACAAGTATACAATTATCACTGTATGGATACACAAATCTTGCATAAGACCCCCACACGATTGGTCTCCTTAGAACACATTGTGTTTATAATACTAGGAGTTACTAGCAATTATATTTTCCTTCATATTTCATACAGTAATCTAACCATGTTAGTGACACAGTTAAGTATCTATCAATGAAGGAGATAGGGGTGAATCTTTCATGACCTGGATACAGTTGATCATAATCCAAGATGACACCACACTCACCTTAATTCTCCCTTTATTAACTTCTATGGGGTCACCATTCTTAAGCCATGTAATGGTGGGTGGAGGCGAGCCACTGGCCTTACATGTAAACCTCCCTGAGTAAGCTGGTTTGCGAATAATACTCCGAGGCTGACTTTGTAAAACTGGTGCAGCTGGAATTAATTCAAAGATGATGAAATTATTAGAAAGACTTGAATTGAGACCCAGGGGTCCATTTTTGAAAACAATATAACTGACAATTTCGTTGCAAATCATTGTTTGTCAAAAGTAGACAATGATTTTCTCAGAATCGCAAGCTAGGATTGTTCCAAAAATGAACCCCTGTGTTACCATCAAACTTTTCTCGCTAAAACAGTAAATACTTAAAGCTTAAAAGTGTTAATGTGTCTTAAAGATTGTTCAATCCCCCGTTTCAACTATCACTTCTTTAACACAGATTGGGACAGATCAGGAATTAGAGATTCCAACAATTTTTTAGGATGGGATCAGACATACTGATTGACCAACTGAATGTGCATTGAATGGAGTGTACTGAACAGTGTACAAATACGCCCAACTATCACACATATCAATTACCATTCATAATTCTAACCAATAATATTCTTGATCAAAGTTCCATAGCAATTAACTTGTAATTAAAAGGCAGTGGGATCAAATCCCACGAAGACTTTTTCATTGAAGTCCTTAACACATAATTTAATCTATATTTCAAATGACTCAATCGGTTGGATTAATATTTAAACAGAAATTAATCAGTTTGACTGAACTGAACTGGTTAAGGACCAATCTATTGACACCAAGCGGAGTGTCAATTTATAAGGGTACTTAGTTTACATATCAATTCACACATTCTCGGAAAAATCACCAGTATAAAGGCTCACTTAGTTTACATATCAATTCACACATTCTCGGAAAAAACACCAGTATAAAGGCAACTCACTTGGGGCAATCTCCACGAGGTTCGTTTTTTGGTTCGCTTTATTTAGAACACGCTTGCGCACATGTTACTCATTTTAACTATATTTTTTCAAAATCAAATGGTGGTGTGATCTATAAATACACGAGAGTAGAATCGTACCCATCATTCATTTAGTCATTTAGATACATATTATGCACAGATACTGAATCTGTTACAGAAAACGACAAAGAACGATGGGAATGAAATCGTTTTTAATGTTCCCATTCGCGAAAAAGAAGAGTTATCAGAACAGTAACTGGCAAAGGCTGAGGGTATCTTATAAACAGGATGTGATACAACAAAAGGGGCCGTTCCAAATGCTAAACCCCCTTCTTAATTGATGAAACTAACTCATGACATGTGAAAAAAAGTATTCTAAAAAATAATTTTATTTCTAAAAAAATAATTTAATAGCTAGCTATACATAAACCAGATTTAACACACCATGTCATTTTACCAGTGTTAAATGTGTGTTAATAAATGTGTATTATCGTGTACAGTTAATAAGTTAACACAGTAATATGAGTGAGACTGCCTTAAATACCAGAAGTTCATTAACGTATAGTTCGGAAAGGTAATCATGTCATTGCCGGAACCAAACTGTCCTAAAATATACATTTATATGTCAATAATAGTTCTTATATATTCCTGCTAAAAAGGAATGGCCTCCAGCCTAGTCAAGGATTGACATTGTAGAAATTGAATCTTTCGAAGAAGCATATTGACGTCTATAGAAAAATGAACATAAATGATATCAAGTCAACTATTTCATCAGGTATGAACTTTTAGACCTCTTAGAACGAATCTAGATCTAAATCTCTTAGAAAATAAATAAGTTACGTGAGCCAAAAATGAAATTGGGACAATACTAACAAAATTATTTCTAAAAAAATGTATTTCTAAAAAATAATTTTATAGCTAGCAAGCTAGTTCGTACCTCACATTAAATCATCTGAACATGACAGGCTTCTTGCATAATATAGCACCTCACTAAGAGGTTCACTAACAAATCACAATAAGATTACATTAGTGAACCTAACAATCTAGGAGAGAATTATATAGTTGTTATTGTAATATTATATTAACAGCACATACCCTGTGGTGACCTTGTACTCTAATAATGTTCCAATAACAAGATGTTATAAGCTTATTAAACCTTAACAACTTTAAAAACACATCTCTTATAAAGAACACCTCAAAATAAATGAATACACACAAGGAGTTCACGGAGTTCACTGTCAAAATCATATACCTCCACTGTAAACCTTGAAACTACTGTTGACCTCGACCTTCGGTCTCTGTCAACAGTAGTTTCTCGGTTTACAGTCTCTGTATACAATTTTGCCAGTTGAACTCTGGAGAGGTCAACAATTGTATACTGTATATCTTTAAAAATTCAACATTAAAGGCCCGGGATTAAAGGCTTCAACATGTATTTTCTTGACAATGGCCTTCACAACTCTTGACATGGAACAAGATGAACAATTGGTGTGTGGACTTGTCATTTTGAAATGTTTTATACAATTTATGAAATATATACATCATTTTGATGTTGTCTTGCAATCTTATGAATCAAATGCATATATACCACACATCATATGGAGCTATATGCCAAAATTTAATCATTTATTGACAGAAATCTCAATATAAAAATGAGAAAAATATATAAACAAGACACTTTGCACTTTGAAGCTTGCATCTGTAAACATATCTAGTTGAATCTATAGTAGGATATATAAGCAGTTTACCTAGAACTGTGGTGACAAAATTGATGTGGCCCCACCCACCTCACGCACACCCAGGAGCACAAGGTGAAAATACAACACTTTATAGACAAAGTCAGTCTTGAAACTAGGCCATGTTACCTCAAATCTCCATTTAACACATAACAGATATCTAGTGATACGCATCAGATTGATGCAAGACCACTGGTCAGTATCAAGGGAAGGTAAGAGCCGTCACCTTCATATCTAAGATGGCGGACAGTAATTGTCAATTTCAATATTTTTAGTTTTCATTGAATTAAACTACTTTATACTTGATGGTTGACGATATGCTTTGATATTTGAACCAAATCAGGCTTATATGACATAGGAACTGTGGAATATGATCATTTGTTCATATATCTCGAGTGGGCGCCCGTAGTTAATTTTCAATATGCAGTAACTGGACATCTTTGCTCTCCATTATAAATTCTCATAACGTTACTGCATCACCGCATATCAGTTATCTTATCATCTGTACAACCCAAATCCCAGTTACCTTGCCTTAAGCGGTGGGAAATTTCTTTCAACTGTGGTGCCTATGCATGGTATATGAACACGCAAATGATCATACTCCAGAGTTCCCATGTCATATATGCCTGATATAGTTCAAATATCAAAGCATTATGTCAACTATAGCCTAGTTTATTTAATCCGATGAAAACTAAAAATATCGAAATCAACACTTACAACCTCCATCTTTGATGGAAGATTATGGCCGGCCGTTACCTTCACTTGGTATTGACCAGTGAAGACGAGATTTAATCCAAACTATTTTTAAAAGGCTATGAAAGTACAGTGCTCACCATAAATAAATGACACCTGGATTTGCTGAAGTGAGGATTTCCCATGTTAAAAAGTAGAGAATTTTCAAGAGGCTTTACATCAGTGGATGAGAGTTTACAAATGTAAAATATACAAAACTTAAGGGATGTGTATCTAGACATTATTGGAAAGTATTAAGTCTCAAATCACCATGGTGTGGAAATAATGATAGAAAATCTAGGTGTCATTTATTTATGCCGAGCACTTTATGTTGACATTAAATTTTCAATAAGAATCACATTTAAATTAATAACTCTCATGTATCTAATGTGAACTTCATTACCTTGGTCCAATCGAGGTGTTAACTGTTAATATTATCTAACATTTTATCTTACATAAATAACAACAGAGCGTGTTAATATTTATTACACAGCTGAGTCTGTAAAAAAATGACAACTATTTAAAGAAAAAAGTGAACACCTTGTACTGTGAACACTTTCGGTTCTATGGATGTCTCATTGCCTATATAGATTATGCATATATGCCAACGGGAATAGAATAACAAGGCATTAACATGCAAAATGTCACCACCATTTGTTACGGAAGTCAACTGCCAATTGCCAATCACTGTCAAAAAAACGGAGACCATAACAATATATCACAACTTATTGGTGATGACATAAAAGGTGTTACAAAACGTAGTAAGATGACGAAACATCTTAGAGTACATCCATGGTATTTTTTAACCGGATGAATAATGAGTGTTCTTTATATTCCCTGTTGTTCGTTCAATGAGATTATGATCATAAATATAAAAATGAAATATGAGATTTCAAAATGAATTGTCAAGGTAAATATTTAATCAGTTGTATTACATATCACATATTATTCCATAGTTAGCATGATATTCATAGGATAACATGTGAAAATAAAAACGGTATTTTTGTAATCAGTGGTAAAATATGATATTTTTGACAAATTTTCACTTAACCATAGCATACGGTTGTTTAGCCATGACATACGACGTCGTATGCGATGGTTTATGGATTTTTGCTACTTCAGACTCAAAACGAGGCTAAGTGTCAATATCGCCGGATCGTTTGGAAAATTTGAATTAAATGACTTAATTTCCGACGATTCTGATGATGAATTTAACTATGGAATAAAAAGAACATCCTATGATTTACTCGTGATATGATTTTAATCCACTCATGGTTATTGATATCTGCACTCTCTCGCTACGCTCCCTCGTGCAGATATCATATCCATTCGTGGATAAAAATCATATCACTCATAAATCATAGGATATCCTCTATTAACAAAAACAACTGTGTTAGTAGAACAATTATAACTTACACATATGTTAGTGTCCTTGAATATCTTTTACTATAGATATGAATAACATCGCAACATTTTCCTTAATTAATTACCTGTGTACAAAATCTCATAGACAAAAAGACCTCAGATTTCCCTGTAAAATTCGCAAGTATTATAAATAACAAGAAAAAAAAGACTTTAAGGTAAGCCAATGGGAATGGGTAAAGAGAAGGCTAACATACATAGTACATACTAATGCTAACATACAATTTTCCTTTTTTTTATGCCTGAAAGTAGCTGTCAAACTGCGTGGGCTCACCGTGCACTAACCTGTGGCTAATTCTGAGCAGTAATTTTTGTATTTGGTGTGACTGGGGATATCCTGCTGTAAAACTATTGGTTTTGCCCACGGTGTATCCATGCCATGCCCCGATGTCTGCCTCAAAATATTCACATGATGGCGAAAGGTGAGCCAACACGGCCCAAGTGTGACAGATCCATACATTTAAGATATTCAATCAACCTTCCCTACAACATGTTAGGTACACACAACCCCCTCCCCCCTAAATGCTTTTCTACATACCTAAAGGTGTCAATGTGGCTTTAGCTGTGATTGGTTCCCCTGATGTACTAACTTTACAGATGTAGACGCCACCATCCTCGAGGCCCACATTGAGGATCTTAAGGTTGCTACGTAGCCTGACAGCACTGTCTGGGAGACTTGAACCATCTAGAATTAAACATATATTTTATACACATAACTGTGCAAGATCCTATTGAGGCATTTAATATATGCACCGAGTAAGGCCTCACAAATTGTTACTACCAGGTTGCATTAGAAAAGTTTATTATGGACACCGATGCAGAACACTACCACCAATTCCGGTATCAAACCAAGAAATTGTGGCTTTTTATTGGTAGTGTATATAAATATTTGGCGGTGTCCATATAATAATAATTTTAAAGAAAACCTGCCTCTGAGAGCACGCCAGATGTTAAAATTTCAAAAAGTTAAGTTCAAGCATAGATGAAATGTGTAATCCAATTAATCAGTTTAGACAAATTCATATATGAACATGAGTTAAAGGTATATCCTGATTTAAAAACAAACACAAGAAATTACAAAATTAGCTTTTTGAACATTCTCTAGGAACAAATGAGTTTTATTTAAAGAAAGAGTTTTGGAGAAAATGCTTCAACATACATCAAGACAGCCAGCCAAATGGGTCTAAGCTGGCAAAATTTTCTTTAACTACAGCAATGGGGGCATTTAAATAAAATAAATACCTTGTCGTTCCCACGTCACTAAAGGTGAAGGGTCGCCCTCGACGAGGCATTCTAAGATGGCGGTTCCTCCTACTGAAACGCTGGTATTCTGAGGTCCATTGAGTATCTGATTAACTGGTGAGGTATCACCTAGAACAATCCAAAACATTCAAAAATCAGTATACAGGAAAACCTATCTAATCAAAACACTTCTAGGGCAGGTCAAGTGTTTTAATAATGAAGTGTTCATATTTCAAGTTTTCTTAAACATGGAAGTCTATGGGAGAATAAAAGGAGGTTGAAAGTGCTCAGATGTTTGGATGAGAGAACTATTTAAATATATGGTTTAACTGTATACAAGAATCAAGATCTGGAAGTGGAGTACTGCTGGAAATGAAACATTTCCCTTGTGGAACAATTTCTGAAAGGAACAATTTTTCAAAAATGTCCAAGTTTTAATAGAACTTCCGTACAATGTTAACATAACTGGTCAAAGATGTTCTTCTTCCACAGCTTTACAGTTTTTCAAAAATGCTGCATCCCACTAGATAATTTGAAAAATCATAAAAATTTTAGATATTTGAATGAACTTTAATTAGAGTTGAGATCATTTTTGCATCAAATTAGTCCAAAACCTTTGTATAATAAGGATTAGCCAAGTAAAAGAAGGAATATTGTGATTTAACTTGTGGGCCTAACTTTTAGAAATTTTAGAGAAGTTATATGTTATTGTTAGTGTAAAAGTACAGCTATCATTATAAGTGAAAATGTCTACTAATTGCAAGTGAATTTTTTTACAAACAAATCACATGTTATGATTGCAGGTATATGTTAAAAAATAAAAGGTGAAAATAGGAGAATAAAAAGTGGGATTGACAAAAGTGTCTAGTGTTCTAACTGGTTCTACCTCTGTTAATAATAGAAAATTACCAGTGAAAAAAGTTACAAGTTTACTTTCTAATTAGCTTGATCAGGGTACTAGGAAGAGAAAATACACAAAAAATATTAACATGCTTTGGATGAAATGTATCTTGGTTGCATTTTGCTGTGTATGCGAATTTTGCGAGATTCAAGCTAAGTATGTTTTACCTTGCTAAATATCTACTCTGTCAAACAATCATTTTCTCAGCATTTAGGGGAGGCATCAAAAGTTCAATGTCGGATTGGAAACTAAATAAATCTAGTTTTGACTCTAACCCCCCCCCCCCTCCCCTTAAAACTAAATACCATGAAAGTTGATCGCTGACTTCCAGTTTGAGCATTTGAAAAATTATTGCTAAACACGATCTAGTTTTCGTTAATTCCTATCGTAATTTGCGGCTTTTAACAACTATTGATAGAATAGAATCCTTTGGAATGATCTTGACGAAGGAAGCATCAGGTAAAATCTTTATTTTTAAACCATTCCAAGGCATTCTGAGTCAAAATTGCCAAAAATTTGAAATGTTAAAATTTGTCGGATAGCAAACTGAAATGGGTTTGAACCCCCTCCCCCCTAACTAGATTTATTTAGTTTTCTATATGACATTGTACTTTTGATGCCTCCCCTTACTGCACTTGGGTTTCTGTGGACAAAACATTTGAAGGCAGTGAATTTCAAAGGATCTATTAATGGGTACATTCTAATGGTTTTGAATGACACACCACATATTGTTTAGCAATAGTAACAATACCAGCATATGATTAAAGCAACAGATTTAATGTATGACACCGAAAAAGCATGATGTCCCATTTATTATCATTACATTGCAATCTAAATATCACCATTCTCATCACATCCTGTGTTGCCATTTGCAGGCACTGAACAAAAACAAACCAAACCCAGAGTGAGTCGCAGATGTTTAATTGAATTAATATGCCAGTGTAATTGGATCTTTTGGGAGATAAGAAAGGTGTATCTAAACAAGTACGATACAAGGGACATAAATGATGTAAAAGATTGCCATTTCTACCTTAGAATATGTATGTGTTAATATGCAATAATACTGTATACTTTTAAGTAAGTAAATCTGATACAAAGACCATTTCTCAAACAGTTAAACCTTTCTCTTAAACGCATATACAACAAAATGTCCCCAGGATTATGACTGTGCAACAAAAAATTGTACATGCATATTATATAGTTTTGCTAGTGTGGTATTAGAAGGCAAGAGTCTCACCAAAGGCTACTGGTAGAACGGCTTGCTTACTTGCAGTTACTTCAAGTGCTGCTGATTGGCTAGTACGCTGACCCGCGACATTAATGGCTTTGCAGCGATAGTTGCCTGTGTCTGAGGTACGAACTTCATGGATTTGAAGTATTCCTGAGGATAGGTGTATTAACCTGAAACACAGAAGAATGAATGTCATACTGAGATGTATTATATACATGTATATTATGAGCCACACAGGAAAACCAGTTTGATCACAAAAATTTAAATTACGCTACAGCTCTAGCCAAAAATGTCCCAAAGATTACGAGAAAAATGTGCTTAATTGAAATCTCTCTTTTTGTCCTATATGTACAAGGAAAAATGTTAAAACATAAACCATGGCTCATCTGAAAGGATTCTTTGTGCTTTTTAAGATAAACAAACAAGGCATTAACATGACAAAATGTCACCACCTAGTTGCTCACAATATTATGAATCTTTTTTGACCTTGAGAAGGTCATTAAAGGTCAACATCTCAAATCTATAGTCAGATAGATGATTTTGAAAAGAAAAGACCTTTTTGACCTTTTTTAACCTATTTTTGACCTTGAGAAGGTCATAGAAGGTCAAATCTTAAATCTTAAGTCAGATTAGAACTTCAGAAAACTTGAAGATGATTTTGAAAAAAAATTGAAGTTGGTCTAAACAGTATTTGTTAAGTTATTGAAAGTTGTTAGAATTTGTTACAGACACTGATCGCCAAACACCAACCGCTGATCGCCATCAATAAAAAATGGAGACCATAATAATATGTCACCACTTATTGGTGGTGACATAATAAAAATCAAAAAATATTGAAAAAATCTGTGATAAGAGCCCTTTTCATATGCATTAGTTTATTCATTTATTTATTCATTTAATCACACAAAAGAAAGCAGGAACAATATTATACCTAAACTCAAGAATGGCAAGCAAATATACAACTGTCATGTACATCTTTCAACAATGACTTCATAATAACTTGAACATACAACTACCAAAACAATATATTGATCTCAGGTTGTTTTCCATTTAACAAACTAATCAAACAAGAACTAAACAGCTCCATGAACCATTAACATCATTCCCTAGCATCAGCACACAGGTGAATACATCAATCATTCTGAACAGTTTTCATTAATTTTTGTTGAACTGGTCAAAAGTTCAGAGTGATAACCACAGCAGTTATACTCAAATCGTTGGTTAAAAATGCAATAATCACCTATGATATTAGTGATATTGGAATTTTATAGAATTCTTTTGCTTGTTTTAGATCATAAAAATTCTTCAGTATGTTTTCAGGTAAATCAGTATGTTAAGAATCTCTATGATTACAATTACCTATAATATGAAAAGTGATGTTTTCTAAACCGACTACCTTAAGATCTAGCTGTATGCAGAACTGTATTACTACAGTCAGAGTGAAACGCAACTCTGGGTAGCAGCCATGCAAAGGCGAACTACAAGATAAACATGATATCTTCCTTTATAAGTGATGACAAGACAAATTCTGCTAACCTTCAATTTCCACAACTGACTAATAACTGCCTAACTTCAGTACCCTTTAGATAATTTGAATTTGCCTCTTTCAGCTAGTTTCATTTTTGAAAATACGACAAGCCTCCAGGGGTTAAGGTATCACTTCAGTAACAGCAACTCAAATAAAATAAAGGCGATAAATGATTATTATTATTATTATTACCGTATTCTCTGTAATTAGCGCCCAGGGCGTTTAGAAAATTGAAAATACATTATTTAGACCATTCTAATAAGCGCCCATGTATGAAAGAAATCAGAAATCCCGAGGAATTTCATGTATGGCAATTTTTCTTGACAAGAATGCATTTTCTTCAACATATTTTTATAATAATATGACAAGTGCTGTTATTGGAGAGAATACGGTAAAGATCGCTTAGACAATATTGACAGTGGTTGAAGACCCGTCTATGTCTAATTTATTTCCGGCACGCCCACTTTGTCATTATCGCCGATTACCTTCAATATTTCCACTAGAGACTGCTGGATATCGATCTAAAGTTATACATTATTTCTAATTTGATGAGAGATCATCATTATTCTACAAAAGTCGTGTAAAAGTCGAGAAACATTAAAAAGAAACCAGAAAGTTCACGACCTTGACATGCGCAGAACATCTGCGCAGTAGCTTTTGAAATTTCTGAATGCCGATAAAGAACAATTCCTTCATTCATTATGGATTATTATGATTCCTCGATGTTTCTTGAACTTTGTGAAGCGGGGTGGGCGCTTATTAGAGAGTGGGCTGTAATTACAGAGAATACGGTAGGTCTATTTACATTATTTGAGTTGTCATAACTGAAGTGAGGTAATTATTCATCAATCTGGAAGTTCTATGTTATACTTCTATATTGAGATAGCAAGGATTTCTTTGGGGACCTTTGTATACACAAGCCAAATAGAATTTTGCATTTTGCCAAGCTGTAGTATATTACCTAGATGAGTATCACAAATTAGTTTGCTGTTTCTAACTACTATGCGTCAATAGAACTAATAAGAATTGCCCTTGGATTGGAATAGACCATATAAATTATCATATCATATTTCAAAGTAAAAGAATCAAACTTGCTGTTTTGAACTACTGGAGAGTTTTGGCCTTCTAAAACCAGATTATCTATTTTATCTATTTTTATCTCAATATATATTGGACATTGATGGCCATCATCATACTTTAAAATAAATGAACTTCCATCTCAGGCCCATCCTTTGACCCCAGAATAAGTGAAAAAAAACTATATATTGTAAATGGAACACTTTTACAAGAAGAACACCTCTGTTAGTAGAACACTTTTCAGAGTCCCAAGGCCAATAAGTTAATGTTAAATTAACCTTTTAGAGGTACCAAAGGTGTTCTACACTGAGACAGGTCACAGGTTTTACTCTACTTCATATAAGCTTACCTGTCTGAGTTTTGAGGTAGAGGTTCACCATTCAATGACCATGTAAATGAGGCTTGAGGTACTGCATTTTTGACTGTACAAGAGAGTCGAGCTATGCCCCCTATGGGCACAGATTGTGTCTGAGGTAGAGGAGATTGAGTGAACCGTGGCAGCACTGAAAATACATAAATAACATCTAAAATTATTACATTCCTGAATAAATACAATTTCTTAATATTATAATGCTGTTCACTATAACAGTTTTCAATAAATCTTTGAACTAACCGAGCTAATCAGTCGACAAAATAAAGACGACTTTCTATATAAGGTAATTTTCTCTGACATAATCGCATAATAATTATTATGCAAGCATTTAACACATGCCCCTTCCAGCTCGCTGATTCATTGAGAAAAGGTCAGTGTGGTAGGTTTGAAATGATTCAAATGAAATGAACGAGCTCTCACGGGCATTGATCGTGAAGGCGGGGCTGCAAAACTGTAAAAAAATTGTCTATACTAGGCAGAGGGTAGTTTATAATAATTAGACTCTGTGTGCAGGGTAAGCCTAAAGTGAGTAATTACTAATTGTGAGTTGAAAAAGGTGCTACATCGATGCTGTACATACAAGCCAAACTTTTTGCTATAAATCAAACAGACGATGTCTACATGACCTGTAATAAATAGTTACTAATACAAGCATTCAAGTTTCTTATAAAAAACGAGTGACGAATATGCCAAGACTTGAGAAGTTTCTCTGTTGATGAGATGACATGAAAAAAATCAATACATTTAGCCTGGCTTAGACTTTTTTGTAGGCCATAATGGCCTAGATATGTAGATGTCCCAAAGCTCCTTTCATATTTTTAGTTAAGGTTAACTGTTAAGTGTTTATACTAAGAAATCTTGTATTTTAAATTTTCAGGGAGCAATCTTATTTCCGACAGTAGAGTAAAAATATGTTACAGAAAATACTCGCGTAACACCCACATATTTGAACTATTTTTCTGTCCTAGTTTTTGGATAATCAATATTTCTTCTAATTTATCTGTTCTAAGGCGTTTTCATAAGACTGGTTTTTCCATACTGTATTTTCAAAATGGCCTGTCAGGTTTATATGAACTCGTTTTTCTTTAGCCCAGATTTATATCGATCTCTTAGCAGAAAACTTGAATGTCTTAACAATTCAAAACTGGGCTCTTATTATCCTGAATAATCTTTTATTTATTTCAAAGCCAAAGATGCGGAGGAATACAGTACTTTGTTTTGATTGTATTCCACTATTGGTACAGTTGTTACAGGAGGGCATGTTTTAAGTTAACCTTGGCCCTAATATAAATAGCAGAGATACAATAACATGCTAGCTCTTCCGCCTCTATAGCCTGAGATTGTAAATTTGAATACACGGTGCACTGAGAGACACTGAAACTTAACTGAACAATAAAATGAAGTAGCTAATGTTATGATAAACCTTGACTGATTTGTTTTTATTATATTCCATACAAGTTTACTAGTGAAATAAACACAGCATAATTAAGTGCACATTAGTTCTGTAGAAGGACAATAGAGTGCAGTAGTTGTCTTTTAGTGACCTTATGCATCTGTGTGTTGTTTGTTCTGCTCAGGCCACTTGGCAGAGTGCCAGAGCTATCATCAATATGAATGACCATTGCATATATTGATTCATTTCTCTCCCACGAGGCAACCACATTTCCCTTATGCTCTGTTTTCCTCATAGCAAATAACAACACTGAACACTACCTTAGACAAGTTATGAAATTTGAAGAAAATACACGAGAATATGTAGAATTACCTTTCATAACCATTGCTTAACCTATTTAGATACTATATTATAAATATAGTAACCTTGTCACATCAAAAAGGTTTACAACAAAGATGACTTGCATTATCTCTCTTACAAGGTCAGTTAGTATTTCACAAGTGTTGTTAAACATTTCAAGAAGATTTCATGTCTTCATTTTAATAGGAATATGCTAAAGGGTAGGGTCAATATATATATACAGTACACATATTTGCCAACCAGTGTTATTCATGATGGCAACTAGATAATGGCAACTCCGCGGAGTAGCAAATCCCAACGAACAAAATATCAATTACCGAATTCCAATCAATTATACTCATTACTTTGGTTGAAAATGAAAAAATTAGATTTTAGAATTGCGAATTCCTGCAAAGCAGCCATTTTGAATTTTCTGAGGTACAAATCTGAAAAATAATACCATAATTGTGATCTACTCCAAAATTCCTTCAATTTGAGTATAATATAGCCATACTTTGAAGGGATCGAAAAATTATTGCGAAATCATACATTAGACGGCCATTTTGAATTTTACGAGGCTCGAATCAGAAAAAAGATACAATATTTGCAATCAACTCTTAATTGCCTTTCATTTGAGTATAATAAAGCTATACTTCAGAGAGATCTAAAAATTAGCGAAAATTTCTGTTTTCCTTTCCCCCCATACATGGCCCCTGGGGGTCAGGATGAAAAACACGGAATATATGTGAAATAGATAAATGTTGTGAATACACTACCGAAATTTCAAACAATAATATTAATTACTTTGGTTTAGAATGAAAAATTTATGATTTTTGCGAAAAAGTCCCGTCAGTTTTAAAGCGGCGGCCATCTTGAAAAATTTTTTTTTTGCGTAAAACTATTCACCAATATACATCTTTCCACTAAATATGAAGAAAATCTGTCAACTAGTATTTGAGTTATCTTCCGGACAGACGGACGGACTGACTGACTGACTGACTGACTGACTGACGGACAGACGGACGGAGGGCTTCACTATATCCCTAACGAACTTCGTTCGTTGGGATAATAACGATAAGAAATTGGCAACAAGCATGATATTCATGAATTTGTATATTAGTTGTATATGTCACAATATGGAGATATATCAGAATTAGCATAGATTTAAGCATTTGGGTGGCCATTTATGAGTTTCAAAGGCAAATTCATTGAGACAATACATTATCTTAGATCTAATATAATAATCCTACACTTAGTGTACTAAATGTATAATAACATTAAAAAATAAATTTGATATTTATTGGCAAAATAAATATCCAGAGGATATCGTAACGATATACTCCAGCCGGAGGATATCGTGATGATATACTCCAGAAAACCCAATATGCGGAGGATATTGTGACGATATATGCCGCTTGTTGATTTCCCGCCAAATTGACTCTATTTGGCATGGAATTCATTTTGCAATGATATTATACATTTAGTTCACTCCTTGTAAGTGTAGGATAATAAGAACATCCTATTATGTTTTCAGAATATCATTTTAATCTACTCTGTGATATTGATATATGCACTCGTTCGCTTCGCTCTCTCGTGCAGATATCAATATCACCTCGTAGATAAAAATGATATTCCTCAAAATCATAGGATATCCTTTAAATATTTTCAATTATAGCGAACCAGACTATACTTCAGAATTAACAAAAATTCCTGTTTTCCAGACCCTACCATACATGGAGGTCAGACTGAAAAACATGGAATATACTAGTATACTTTACTTTAGTTGAAATGTGAAAATTAGATTTTCTCACCATCTTGTGTCAAATTCAGTCAGGGTTTTTACTAGGCTTTTAGACTCCGCGGACAGTCTTGTATGAAATGTATATTGTGATTAAAATAGGAATATAATCTTAAATGGTATTTTGAAAAGTTTAATCATAGGATATCTCTGATCTCACATGGGGGAGTAGTCACGATACCACAAAAAATCAGGGGTTATAAATTTCCTTGAGAGAGTTTGTCTTTCTATTAAACCAAATCTTATTACTTAAACATAAATTCCTAACATTATGAAACTCAAGGTATAACCTTATAATGATGTTCCTAATATTAGCAAAATGTAAAATTCCCTTCTTCAATCTATACTGTAAATACCATTATGTACATGTCATTACAATTGACCTATATATCAAGCAAGCTTAAACTTGAAATTTTATTCTAATATGTACAATCCACTCAGTAAATACTATTGTAAAATCAACCAAAATGATTTAACAAGCTTAAAGTACATACAAAATAAAGCAGATTGAGATCATTAAGATGACAGACTCATATCGTGAAATTCAGGTAGAATCCCATTTTGTGAGGTAACATCTATTAACTTCTTAAGAACAGAACATAAAATAAATTCTGTACTGTTAAACCTGGATAAAGATAAAGTCCAGGGTAGTATCAATTGTCAAAATATTGTATGAATGACACTTAAACTCAAACAACAAAAGAGAAAACAGAAAAAATCTCTGAATCAGCAAATCTCTTTAGCAAATATTATGTAAAACATAATGAAACCTTAAGATTATCATTCTCTTCCAGTTTTTAGGATGGAAAATCCTTACTTTACAAAAGATTACACAAGACTAAGAAATCTTCACAACTGGGTGGACTCATTGAGGTATTTCAAAGAAACAGCTCAGGATACAATTATGTGTAAAATAGTAAACTGTAGTGAAATGAATACGAATGGAAATCATCTGGGTGATGTATAATGAAATTCAATCCAATGATCAATAAACATCATAAATTGTACATACTTTATAATAGTGTAACTTGAAACCAAGAGCTTTATAGATGAGCCTCTTTTAATGGTGCTAAATCAACCTATTGAAAAAACTATATTGATCAACAAGGACCAAATGAATCGATGTCATTTCAGATATCCACCAATAACATTTCAAACAATGAGAAACATGTTTCTAAACCTATTAACCTATTTATAATATAAGATAAACAAGCTTATACAGTGTAATTATATTCATTTCAAGGCTACAGGAAACACAGGATGATGATAGACGTATATAGCTTTTGTTAGAACTATCGATTCCCAAAGGCAAATTAATTATCTCTACAAAATAGATTTATCTCTTGATCCTTGTACCATTTGACAACATGGTCTTCCAATAAAATACGGGGCAAAAGTATTTGAAATCATGATTTTAACATGGAAATAGTTTAAAAATCCTCAATAGAAAATGAGATTTTATTCAACGACCAGAAAAAATCACCTATTGTTTCTGCCCACGACTCCTCTGATGTTATAAATGTATAAGTCTTTTACCTTGAAGATAAGCTTGACACACACAAACAAGCAATATATAATATTGTATAATCCATCCAAGTTG